TTTTGATAGGATTTAGTTGTGTATGTGGTTGGTTTTTTTTTAAATCCTCCCCTGAGGATATTTTTCCATCGATTTTTAGAGAGAGTGGAAGAGAGAGGGAAAGACAGTGAGAATTATCAATGAGAGCAATATCAATTGGTTGCCTCCTGCAGGCAGCCTCACCATGAGTTGGGTAGGAGCCTGCACCAAGGTACATGCCCTTGACCAGAATCAAACCTGAGACCCTTAAATTAGCGGGCCTACACTCCATCCACGGAGACAAACTGGCTAGGGCAGGATTTAGGTGCAGTTAAAGCAGAATCCAGTTACTTGTGTGATCCTAGGCAACTTACCTCCACGTCCAAAGCCTCTGGTCTCTTACCTGTAAATAGAGTAAAAATCCTCTTACTTTCATTGAAGTAACGCCTCCAGTGCACCAGACGCTGTTGTAGCCCTTGAGGTGGATCCATAAACAAAGAGACATAGACTTCTCCCTCCTGTGTTTGTTGGGTGGAAATGTGTATAAGTAGGCCTGACACACTCCTGACTCTCAGGAGGGTAATCATGAGCTGTATTTGTGGCTTCCAACTCGGACTCTTTCCAGCCACGTAACTCCTAGGGAAGGAGAACTGCCACTTTCATCCATTCCTGGCAGCCCCCACTGACTAGCGCTCACTGTAGTCCGGGCACAGGTCTGAGTGCTTTACCAGGTGTCTACACTCATTCAATCCCCAGAACAAGCCTCTGAAGCAGTTTATTAGTCTCATTTTACAAGGCTGAGACACAGGGAGGACATGAAGGAGTTTCTGGGCCACAGAGCTGGTGGATAACAGACCCGGCATCTGGATTTAGACTCCAAAGACCCTACTCTTAACTATAGCACCTCGGAGTAATGAAATTAGAGCCCATTTTTCTTCAATTTTACTTTTATTGTTGAGAGTATAACAGATGTCCAACCAAGTGCAAAAAAATTCATGTATTAAAAATGTCTGTGCCTAAGTATGTATTAGATGGGCTTGTTGTGCCCTCTGGTGGAAAACCAAAGCAGGGAAAGAAAAGGAAGTTAGATGCACAAGGAAGAAAAGCCCTGTTTGCTGACATTCTGGGCTCTTCAAAAGTTTGCTCTTAATCTCGAGAAAATGGCTGGGAAATCTCTCAGGGATAAAATGTGAGACTGCTGAGGATGATTCAAGATGGTTAACATTGTAAACACACAGCAAAGCCTGCAGAGTGACGTTGGTGTGGAGGGATCTTTTGGTAAAATCTCAAGGGATAAATATCAGATTACAATGTTATTAGAAACAATCTTGATAAAAAAAAAAAAAAAAAAAAAATTTGCCAGAATGTAAAAAAAACCCAAAAACATGATCATGACACATACATCTCATAGGACAATAGAAAGTAAGGAGAAAATAAACAAGTGGGGCTACAAAATAAAAAGCTTCTACACAGCAAAAGAAACCTTCAACAAAGTGACAGGAAAGCCCACTACATACATGGGAAAACATATTTGCCAATGATACATCCAATAAGGGTTTAATCTCCAAAATTGATAGGGAACTCATGCAACTTAGCAAAAGGAAGATAAACTATCCAATCAAAAATGGGCAAAGAAAGGACCTAAACAGATATATAAAAAGTGCTCAAAGTCACTAATCATCTGAGAGATGCAAATCAAAACAACGGCGAATTACCATTTCACACCTGTCAGAATGGTTTTCATCAACAAATGAACAAATGACAAGTGCTGACTTGGATGTGGAGAAAAAGGAACCCTAGTGCACTGCTGGTGGGAATGCAGACTGGTGCAGCCTCTGTGGAAAACAGTATGGAGTTTGCTCAAAAAACTAAAAATGGAGCTCTCATTTGACCCAGTAATCCCATTTCTAGGAATATATCCTAAGAAATCAGAAACACCAATCAGGAAGAATATATGTTTCCCCATGTCCATAGCAGCACAATTTACAGTAACTTCACAAACTCAAAAATATGGTGTTATGAGAGCACCATCTTGTGGCATGTTGTTTACATTGTAGGAAAGGGGGAATATTCGCAATCAGGGTCAGATTATGAATGCAAGAAATTACTTTAATAGAGGAACTATCATTGTTTTTTGTTATATGCTGTCTGTTTTGGCAGGTCCTCAAGCTGTGTGAATAGGCATGACAATTTCCCAGCCACCGGATATGGACATGCTCAACTCTGGGCACCAGATAATACTCCAATGTGAATCTTGACTGATGGCAAGTCAGGCCAAGTTAGTACATGTGTGTGTAGTCCTGGGGAAGTCCTAATCATATTAAGACTAGTGGCCTGGTGCACAAATTTGTACACATTGAAAGGAAATTAATTAGAAGAAATATTTTAATATCACTATTTGCCTTTCTCTATAAAAGAAGTGTCAGAGATGAAAGAAAATTATAAAATGTACATGAACATAATATATAAATTGATTAATAAAAAACAATAATATGATATAACAATGAATATTTTCCATGAAATATTTACTGTCAGAATCTTCGTTTATCATTAAATTTTTGAAATATGCTGGGTATTCTGGAAAATTTATATAATTTGGACAAACTTTGCTTTTGCTACCACATCGAGTAAATTCTCTATCAGGTGGTTTTTCATTGGAGAAATTTAGGGATAGGCAAATTGACATGTAACAGTCATTCCACCATAACTGTGTTTGCTATGAAGGCAGTTTCTACCAGTAATGGTAGTACTTGTTGATGACTGTTCTTCAGCCATATTCTGTTGATGACATGGCTTTCTTCTGGCTTCAGAGGTACATTGTGGCAATAGCTGGTCTTCAGACATACTCTGTCCACAATTTTGACTTCAGAATGTCAAGAAAAAACGTGACATCATCACCCGATGCCCACAGCCACCTTTTGTGGGCTGGGCTGGGCTGTGGGCCACCTTTTGGCTGATTTGGTGGGCTATAGCTCTGGGGTGGTGGCAGGGCCTGTGTCCTACATAGGGGAAGCCAAGTGTTGCTTTGTGGGTGCCAGGTCCATGGTGCTATTTTTCTGTGCATGTCATGGCAGCTCCTGCATTGAACGTTTGCCCCCTGATGGTCAGTGCACATTATAGCAACCGGTCAGACTGGACACTTAGCATATTAGCCTTTTTATATATGTATGGATTAATGCAGCTAATCAAAGGGTGCAAGGAAAGATTTCTACTCATCTTTCTCCTGCCCAATGCCCCAAGAAGGGTGTGCTCACTTTGCATTCGTTATTTATTGTCTAACAAACTTAGAGGATTAAAACATGTTTGGGGAGGGATGAGGAATTCATTCAGCAGTAGCTTATATGGGTGACTCAGTTTGTACTCAGGATGTCCACAGAGATTATAGTTATTTAAGAGCTTGACTGGAAGACGCCTTACAAGACTCCCAGTTATCATTTGGCTGGAAGCATCAATTATTTGGGGGGGACTTTCCAAAGACCTAGGTTTTTAATTTGGGCCTCTGTATAGGCTGCTCCCAATAGACCTTTCCCTAGTGATTAACCTGAGATAGAAATCAATGTCTTCTAGAACCTAGTCTCAGAAATGACATGCCATCACTTTCTCTGTATTCTCTTACTCACACAGACCAAACCTAATACAGCATGGGGTTTACATAAAGGTATGAATACTGAGGTTGGGATCATTGGAAGACATTTTAAAGGCTAACACTGTGCCCAGACTCCCATAATTCACATCCCTCTCACATGAAAATTAGATTTAGCCTCTCCTTAAACTCTTGAAAACCTCATTACATTATAGCTTCAGCTCAAAACCCAGAATCTCATCACAGAAATCTGACCCTGGTACAGGTGAGGTTTTTGAGGTATGTTCCTGAAATACAATTAAAGTATGGCTTCTTTCAAGCTAAGGACTTGTACACTAAAGGGGAAATTGGTGTCTCCCAAACACCCAATTCACAATGGCTGCACAGGTAGAGGAGTGTCCCAAGTTTAGGAACAGTCAGAGGCTCACTCTTAATATTTCTTTTCACCATGGAGGTTCTAGACAATACTAAAATAATGCAGCTGCTGTGAAGTTTGGAAGCTCCTCAAAAAAATTATATAGAATTATCATGCCATTCAGCAATTCACTCCTTGGTAAATCCAAATTAATAAAACATAATATTCAGACAGAAACTTACATGAACTTTCATATAAGCATCATTCAAATGTCTAACAACAAAAAAAGTGCTATATCTGTGTAGTGGAATAGCAGTTACAAAAAAAAGGAAATACTTACACATGCTACAATATGGATGAACCTTGAACACATTATGCTAAGTGTATATTTTCATCTATATAATATGCTCAGAATAGGTAACTATAGATAGAAAGTTGATTAATGAATGCCAGAAGCTAGGGATATTAGGGAATGGAATTTCAGGGATTTTTACTTGGGTCAGTTGATTAAAAAACAAAACAAAACATACCATTTGGCACATAATAAATTCTACATATCAAAAAAGATTAAATGTTTTTAGACATGTAAAGGATTAAAGACCAGCAAATCTGCATCCTGAAAAAAATTTAAATCCCTTCTACCAGGTAAGATATATAAATAAAAGTTCACAGTATTTATTAAATTTGTGGTAATTTTATTTATAATAGGAACAAAATTTATTTTTACATATATGTACAAGGCATTTATTTTCTTTACATAAAAATAGAAATATTTATATATTTACAAAAATATTAAAACATATAGACTTTACAAATAAAGCAAACATACAGACTTTACAAATAAAGGATTTCACAAAGGACACTTAGAAAAATACACACTGAAAAAGACATCAAAGAAATGTGACAAAACATTTAAATTAAGACTCCAGAGTTGTTATTTCAAAGGATATTAATTTGATAAGGCAAATAAAATGTCTCAAATACTAATAGATGGTAAACAAAATTTAGCTAAGATTGTATAGGTAAAATTACATAAGCTTCTTTACTAAAAAATTCAATTTTATTTTACCTCTAAAACAAAAATCGGATGACTTAATTTTTTAAAAAATATTTAAATTTCCTGATTTATACTGAGAACTTTGAACTTTTTCACATTAAATTTTAAAATATTTTAAGAGGTTTACATCCTCTACTTAGAAGGAGGGCAGAAATCCCTTGCAGGATAGTCATTTCAACATTAGACTGAAAATCACAATATATATTCTTAATTTTTAAGATTAAAACCTAACTTTTCTGACTAACCTTCATGATCGGCTATAACAGATATTAATAAGATATCACAATCGTCGTAAGTTCTTCTTGCTTTTCACAGTACCAGGCAGAGGACACATTTTATAATTGGCTTTTAGAGGCTTGCCATTCAAACAGTCTTTGGTGGTATGATAATCACACAGACATCTGGTACAGTAATCAAACCCACAGCCTTCTCGTTTGCAGACTGCCCTTTGCAAATAGCAATCATATTTTGCAGGTGAGTTACAGCGAATACAGGCTTTGAGGCTTTCATTATTCTTCAAAGTCGTGGCAACCTAGTAAGAAAATCCATAAAAGAATTTTAGTGAAGACTGACTTGAATGTAACTTTGGAAGAACAAGAGTGGCACATCTGGACTCTCCACAATACAAGCATAAGAAAGTCAATGTCACACATAAAGAGAACTCCTTTCCCAAAGCACCCTCGCCCTGGTGTTGTCAACGAGAGAGAGTATCAGCTGGCTCAGTAGCAATTTCCTAATGCTATTTCTAAATATGTTCTTTTCTTTCACGAATGCTACTCAAATATCAAGGCCTAAATTAAATAGGCACCTTTTCTGTGAAGTGTTCCTAGTATCACTCAGGAGCTGGCTGCACTTTTACCTCTAGTTTTATGTTTTCTTAAAGTGCCTATCATATTACATATCTTTTCTTTAATGCCTTATCTTTCATTCTAGATTTTAAGGCTATGGAGGTTACTACCATGTTTTCTTCTCTATGCAGTACCCAGTAAGATAGCAGATATTCAAAAAGTGCTTTGGAATAAACTTACATTTTACCAGGCATCAGAGTATAAAGAGAGAATACTAAATTTCTTTACATACAATTTATATTTATTGACCAACAAATGAAGTCAGTATTTTATTTCAAAACATATCCTCTTTTAATTATGATTTTTAAATTAAGTTAGCATAATTATCCATGTGAGAACTTTTGTAATGTGTATTATAAAAGTTCTCACATGGATAATTATGAAGTGAAGTTTTAATAGGAGGCCAGGAATTTCTGAAAGTTGGCCCTGTTTTTCTTAGATAGCAGTGTTTTAAAATTAAGAGTCTCCATTATTTTCTTAGCATTCCTTAATTAAATTTCAACATCACTAAACTGTCTAATAATGCCAAGTATATATTATTTTTATCATAGAAAGTAACTCTGTACTTTCCCAAAATATTAGTTGAGTTTCTAAAGTTCTCCCTTTCTCACTATAAGTCCTCTTAACAATAAGTACCCGTTATGACTAATTAACCAATAAACAAAAGAATTACCTCAGAGAATTCTTTGTGCCAACTATAAGTAGAACCTTTCTGATCAGCTGGATCAGATAACTTGTCTCGAGGATCATTTTTGAGAGGAGTTTGGCTTGCTGATTTCTGAACAGAGGCCAATGCAGTTCTACACATAACATGTTCTCTGGTTGAAGCATGTGATGAAAACTTAACGTTCTTTTCCTAATTAAAAAAAAAAAAAAATGTTTTAATAGGATTTCAATTTATCTACACGTTTAAAAAAAAAAAGCCACACAAAAGTATCCACACAAACATTTCAAGGCTAACTAACTTATTGACAGAAAATATAAACCAAATTGTGAGTACTTGACATGCTTAGTCTATATAGCATTGAATACATGATTTATCAAGTTCTGCCAGAAGAGTAATTCTTCCTACCAACAGCAGAGGGCTATAGTCATGTTTAGGTGTCACTCCAGTGTCACGAAAAGATTCAATATCACCTTTTACATTAGAAAATTTTCCATTAACACCAACTTATTGATAAAGAAATTAAACTTGAAGAATGAAAGCAATACTAATCTAGAGCAACACAGCTAGTAAGTATTGATAGCAGCACCAAAATTTGGACTTAACTCTGCCAACGAAATTTTCAATACACATTGATCTTGAAGTATTTCTGAAAGTAAATTCTTTTCTACGTTAAAAATCTTCAATAAATAAATATTTTACTATATATCTGGTAACTGAAAAAATACACACAAAATGGCAACCTATATTAGCTGTATCACAAACATACACTGAGAACTGAGTAATTTTCCCTTTGGACATTCCATTTATGGGACTAAACAATTGAAGTGGGATTCCTTCGCCTTTCCCTATAAATTTTATAATGAGTTCTAGTCAAGTTTGAAATGCTTTTTGAATGTAACAGATTTCCAGATTACCTGTTATCTTCTCTATTTCCCCCTTCTAATTCTAATGGTAAAGGTCACTAGCTACTGTTTATTAAGCTGAAAACATCAACTCAAAGACTTACAGTAATTCTTTGTATTGCTTTATTGTACAGCTGCAATGCCCGCTTATCATCTTCTAGAATCTTCTTCCAAGTTATGCTCACTTTAGACACACTGGAAAAATAAATGATTATGAAATACACAAAGCATCACAAAGAGCTCAGATGAATATACTACAGAAACATTAATAGTGCAAAAAAGAAATTTTTATTAGCACTGTTCCTTTTTTAAAAAAAATATATTTTATTGATTTTTTACAGAGAGGGATAGAGAGTTAGAAACATTGATGGAATCATCGATCAGCTGCCTCTTGCATACCCCCTACTGGGGATGTGCCCGCAACCAAGGTACATGCCCTTGACTGGAATCGAACCTGGGACCTTTCAGTCCGCAGGCCAATGCTCTATCCACTGAGCCAAACGGGTTTCAGCAGCACTGTTTCTTAAACTTAACTTTACGTTAGAATTGTCCAGGACACTTAAAATGGGATACAAAGTTCTGTATTTTTTAAAAAGTTCCCTCTCAAGTAATTCTAAGTGCATTCAGGCTTAAGAACTACTGATTTATATTTCAATAGAGGGCAAGTGCATGCATTTGTGCACCAGTGGGTCCCTTGGCCTGGCCTGTGGAATCAGGCTGAAATGGCTCTCCAACATCCCTGGAGGGGTCCCAGGTTGCGAGATGGCACAAGCTAAGCTGAGGGACTTCACCGATGTACAATTTGGGTACGGGAGGTTGGCCAGCCAGGGAGGGACCATGGGAGGGCTCCAGGGTGTGTCCCCAACTTACTCACTGTCCCAATCAGCCAGACCCCAGCAGCAAGCTAATCAACCAACCATAGTGTCTCCCCCCGTTGGTCAGTGCATATCATAGCAACTGGTCCATTGGTCAAGTTCCTGCCCCCTAGTGGTCAGTATATGTCATAGTGAGTGGTTGAGCAGCCTTATCATATTACACTTTGATTGGTTGAACAGCTGACTGGTCGACCAGACACTTAGCATATTAGGCTTTTATTATATAGGATTTCCCCCCCACATTATCTGCAAACATCAAATAAGTAGCCACTGCTTACTATTTGTTAGCTATTTGTTAAAAGTTGTAGTCAGATTTCAAAGTACTTTAGGGCACACTGTTATTAGGAGAAATCAACTTGTGATGTTGGTTATCCTTAAGAAGATAGCCAACAATAAAAATCAATATGTTTATCTGTTTTGCTTTAGCTACATAAAGACCAGTGTAAAAACATTTGCAAAGAGTACTTCTGAAAACTTAAAAAGACCCCAGTTGGGCTGAATTCAACCTAACTCAGCAGTCTGTGTAATCATCTTAATTCTCACAGTCACCTCATCCTGATTTTATTTGGTGGAATAGGAAAGGGTAGTTAGTTAGCTTAAGGTTTCTAAAAAATAGTCACAATCAGATCCATTTGAGGGTAGTCATATTTTCATTATCAAACCTAGAAGAGCCCTACATTAAAAATGGCCTAAAAGACAGAAATCATTTCCTATTTCAAGTGCACCAAAAGTCACAATGCTTATTAGATGTGTACACTAGAACTAGACATTGTTTTATACTTAAGCCAGAAAAGATGCAGCTTACATAACAAAAATTTCAGAACCCAGAGAAATAAAGATACCAATCTAACTTAACTTGCATTAGTGTATTATACGGATACGCTCAAAGCAACAACACTTACTTGATTAAGTCCATATCGCTGAGCTGTGTTAAAATATTTGCTAAGAGATGTCTGAGTCCCCTTCGAAAGAGTTCACTGAGAATATCTACATATTCTAGGCCCATTTTTCTGCCAATTATAGTCTGTAGCCTAAAATCTACATTATACTCCTTTAGCTTCTCCCAATCTACTTTATGATTTCGTCTGGCATTCTTTTTTAATGTTGAACAAACCACTTTTGCGAAATGAAGAGCTGGCATTAAGTTTTTGTTGGGATATTGGCCTGGGCTTTGAGTCTGAGGTAGGCAAAACTGTGGACTGTCATTGCAATTTTCTTCCAGGGAAAGGCTAGCTTCTTCCTGTTCACCCAGGACACTCTTTTGGGAAAATGAAAAATAGCCACTGTCTTCGTAAGGTCCACTGGTTTCTAGTTCTTCTATTTCATTTGAACTAGTAAGTGTTTGTTGCACATGTTGATTTTCCTTGTTATGCAAGGGCTTGTTCTCAGTTTCAAGTTCTACAATCCTGGGGCTCACAATCGGTGACCCGATATCTGATAGCTTTTCATAGTCTTTAATGCAGTCTTTATTAGAACTTTTCAGACATGGAGAAGTGTAGGAACCTAGCCTTCCACTGTCATCAGGTTTTACCGGCTTAACTCCAGAATGAACGTGGTTATGGTTAAAATCACACTTCATTTTGATAGAAAGAGAAGTTTCTCTGCAACCTATAAAAAGAACATATTTACTTCTTAATAACATAATTTCAACACATCCTTACTACTTGAATTGGGATATAAAATTTGATTACTTTGCATCTCTTAGCAATTTATATTGTCTAAGTGGCTGTGAAGTTATCAAAGTTTAATTATATGGAGATGTGACAATATGAGGAAATATTATTTTATATATACATATCTTATTCTTAAAAAGGTACTTCAAAACAGATTGCTCTTAGATGTGTATAGCTAACCACATTTGACTTTTAGAATCCATATTGACGGAGTAAAAAACAGTGAAAGGGGGACTATTTAACTAATATCTGTGCTGATGGAAAAAATAAGGAGATGTGAGGCATCAAGAGTGGGGTCTCGGGTCAGATACCCTTACAGCAATCCAACACTTCTAGAACCAGTGTTTATACCATGGACTTGAAATGACACTAGTCAGCTTTACTTGAGCACAGCTCCAAAAAGCAAACACTTGTTTAAGGTTGTACTATCAGCCAAAGGCCTTAGAAACCAGTTAAATTATCTTTAAAATAGGTATTCTCAAAGGTGTACACCAAAGACCGTTGGACAAGATAATTCAATCATTGTGAGGGCTGTCCCATGCACTGCAAGATACTTAGTAGCTTTTATGCCATTCGCAGGCCCTACCCCTTAGGTAGGATAATGAAAAATGTCTCGTCACCAGTTATTGCCAAATGTTGAGAATGGTGGGAAGATAGTGGCAGCGAAGTCTCCCCCATCATCCAGTTGAGAACCACTGCTTGAAAAGATTAGGATTTTTTCGGGCAGTAGAGGCTGGAAATAGCACTCAGAGACAGCGTGAGCAAGGGCACTACAGTGGGAAGGAATATAGTAATGGGTTCAGAAAAAACTGCTTAGCATTATTGAGGGCAGATGAAGAGTAGATGCTTCATGTTTACTTCCCACCTACTCTCCCCAACGCAAGCCAATCGTAAGTAGCTAACCACTTATCCTTGTTCAGTGTGCCGCGAGATGTTGCCTGGTGTGCCGTAGGTGCAGACAAGACAAGAATTTTATAATTTTTCACTATTTTGTTTACTTAATATTTCATAATAAAGTAATTATTATAAAATACTTTCTTTGTGTTTATTTGATTCCTATTCAAGAGAATTACTTTATATATAGTCAATATAGGCACAGAGTTAAATTTTTTAACATTTTCTAATGGTGGTGTGCCTCGTGATTTTTTTCATGAAACAAGTGTGCCTTTGCCCAAAAAAGGTTGAAAAACACTGCTATAACTAAGTGAATAAACCAGTATGTCTAATCTACACTAAATATTGGTAAGATTGTCATAACAATTTTACCATCTTTATTTAGAGCAAAACCTTTAAGTCAAAGCACCAAAGGACATGTTGATAGAGAGTAACATTATAGGTAAGGACTCTTTAAATTCCAAATGATTAACGCACTGGAAGACATAGTATGTGCTCTAAGACCCCATAAAACTTGTACTAAATCCTAAAATTTAGCCAAAACCAGTTTGGCTCAGTGGATAGATCCCAGGTTTCATTCCGGTCAAGGGCATGTACATTGGTTGCAGGCACATCCCCAGTGGGGGGTATGCAGGAGGCAGCTGATCGATGTTTCTCTCTTATCAATGTTTCTAGCTCTATCCCTCTTCCTCTCTGTAAAAAAAAAAAAATCAATAAAATATATTTTTAAAAAACAACAAATAAATCAATCAATCCTAAAGCAACACCCACCTACCCAAATTAACACTAACTTGAATCCTTCTCTCCCACCCAGAAAAAGAAAAATATTCCAAGAAGGGTATTTTGTCTCAAGTAAAAAATTGGGTATAATTACACATGGCCATATTTAATCTATAGAAGTCACCTATAAAGCCAATTTTTACTTTGCTTAGCTGCCTAAAGTGAAGAGGCCTGAAATTGTACTTCAGAAACTCTTACCTCTTTTCAAAGGCATTGTTACTCTGCTTGTCTTTAGAACCCAATAATTGGGGTTGTTCCAGCTTTGCCACTGCAAGTTCATGTCCATTTGACACACTTCCACTGTTTTTGTAACTTTCCTTACTTTCTAGCCCTAGAATCCGTTATTTCTAAGAAGCTCGTTCATTTATTAGTTCCAGAATCTAGATGCTAGTTGTAGATTTAGTTTTAAAATGTGAAATTATGTAATATACTTTAACAATACTACAAAATAAAGGGTAAGTATCACTCTTTTATATGAAGGGAACCTGAAAGCAGACTTTGTAAAAAGCTAGTTCCTGGTCTTTCAACTAATTCAGTGCTTTCCAATGACCAAGACAAATATCCCTACTAAACAATATGGGGAAATTTATGTATTTCTATAATTGATATAATTGATCTGAGTATTCAAAAAGGAGAAACATATCACAAGATCTTGAAATCAGACGGATGAAGGTTCCAAGTCTAGTTCTGTCACTTCGTTCATTCATCCAATCCTACTTAGTGACCTGGTGTGGAGAGGAACCTTTTTGAGGTGACATTCTGAAATCTGAAAGCCTTGTTAAGATCTGTGAGCTACAGACAGAGGTAAGTACTAGAAGCAAGGACAAGTGTTGAGTATCAAGTAATAGAAAGTTCTGTAAGACTGCAACTTGGTGAGGTAGGTGGTTGAAAAGGCAGAATGATCTATAGGATTTTTAGGGTAGGATGGATTATATTCTTATGTAGTTAGTAAAGAGGCTTTGAAGAGTTCTAAGTAGAAACATTTTGGTTTGCATTATTAAAAAATCATGGCAGCTGCCCTGGCTGGGTGGCTTAGTTGGTTGGAGTGTCATCCCATACACCTAAAGGTTGTGGGTTCGATTCCCAGTCAGGGCACATCCCTAGGTTATGGGTTCAGTCCCTGATCAGGGTGGGAACAGGAGGCACCGATGGCTGTTTCTCTCTCTCCAAAATCAAATTCTCAGATGAGGATAAATAAATAAATAAATAAATAAATGTAAAAAATCATAGCAGCCGTGGAAAATGGATTGTAGGAAGGTACAAGTGAGTGAAAGCTAGTTAGAAATGTATATCAGAAAATTTCACACTGGATGGCCATTGTGGAAATGAAGATAACTGAACAGGTAAGAGATCTATTGAGGAGGTTAAGTAAAGTCAAAAGTGCTTGCTGATGTGTTAGATGTGGATCATGAAGGAAAACTGGAGTAAAAAATACACTAGGGTTTAAAGTTTTAAGATCTAAGTTATAAAGTGTCATTTGTCAAATTGGGAGAAAACTAAGGTTAACTCTTTCCCGATCTATAAAACAGGGGTGAGAAAATAAAACTGAATTAAATTTAGGACACAGTTCCTGTCATGTGCAGTCTAATCAACAGAATCTACAGAAGTCTAATTATTACATTCTAAGTCAAATCCCTTCATACTCTTTCAGCTGTATATCATGAACATTTTATAAGTAGTAAACTATTCCCCAGACAGAGAGATAGATGTATGCATTCCACATTATATATTTGTTCTAGGAATGGGATCCAGTTTCAAATGAAAATCCTTGCTCAGCCTTTTGACTAGCTTTTGTGACCTAGAACATTCAATTAATCTTTCATTTTCTCTTAAATAGAGCTATTATTATCTACCTCGTGGAGTTGGTAGATTCAACATATTGCATTTTTTAAACCTTTCCTTTAGAGTACAATCATGAAAAAGACATTCTTAATTAACTTTCATAAGGTAACCTATTTAACTTTTCAATATAGATCTGACACTCCTTATTAGGTAAATAGACTACAGTGCTTAAAAACCTTTGTTATTCCAATGTTAAGTAACTATTCCAAGGTTAAATAACTAAGTTCTACAATCTCCAGTACCCATAAGACCACCACCATGTGCTCCACACTAGGCTGGGCTAATCCAAAAATTTAAGAGGCCCAAACTTTGCTACCATTTACCTGCCTATTAGCCATTGTCCATAAGAGGAAATTTAAAAAACTTTGGAACTCAATAAATTTTAAAATTTCATTTCCCCAAATTTATAAACAGGAAAAGAATTCAAGAGGAGTGCAAATATCCTCTTTAGGAATAAGATGGTAAAGAGACAACGGGAATTAAACAACCCAACAACTTAAAGCCATCAAGCTTCAGAATTTCACAATGGAGACATCTAAAAAGTATATTTCCTCTATTTCATATTCCTTTTCTAGAGAAATGGGGATCTCCCAGGGATTACCAAATATCACACTATCAAATTGCTACTTAAAAAACGTAGATCATTTCTAAGTTAAAATAAATGCGTTTACATCTCTTTTGGAGACAGCAACAAAGAGAATAAAAATAAGCGTTTATCTGGGCGCCTCTCATCCTATCCAAGTTTGGAATAAAAACCCACTGTTTCAGGAGTACAGGTTAAAAAAAACACACACACACCACGATTCCTCATTTCTCATAAAATCATCTCAAAATGGCCAAATTCATGGTTTTGTCCTAAAAACTAGTATCCCTTAAAAATCGATCCCTTGGATTCCAGGCCTTGAGACTGAGCTGCTGGGTAAAGGAAAAAAGGAGAGAAACTGGACGTTTTTGTTTGGTCACCCCTGGAGACCTCGGTTCCATGAGGGGGGGTCCCTGCATTTGGCGGGAGTGGCAGGGGGAGACCCTGGGAATGCTGATTTAGGGGCCGGCGGGGTGGCCCCGAGGGCGCGGGCGGGTGCAGGAGGCGGGAGATAAGGGAGCGGGATCTCCCGCGCCCGGCAGCGAGGCCCAGGCGGCCCCAGCCCGAGGCGATGGGCCTGGGGCCTGCGGGTGCGGGTCCCCCAGGGGGAAGGGGCTCAGGGAGTGGGAGTCAGGCACCTGGCCAGGCCCCGGGGGCCGCCCCGCAGAGCCCGCGCCCCGGATCCGGTGGGGGAGGGGAGGGGCATTTGGCGCCCATTCCAAGCGGGTGGGGAGGCAAGTCATCCGAGGGCAGAAGGGCGCCCCAGGAGGCCTCCACCCGCACCTCCCTCGGAGCCGGCTGCAGGTTCGGCGTGGCAGGCGGGATCCGGGCCCGCCATCCCGCATCAGCACATCTGGCTCCCCTTCCCGGAAAGCCGCATTCTTTTTGCCTCCTGGTCCCCGGGACCCCCTCCAGCGACCCCCGCACCCAGCCCCCGCGGTCCAGCGTGGGGCCGCACGTCCGGATGGCGGGGTAAGATCCCCTCTCCCCTCCGCATGCCCTCACTCCTGAGACCCGCACCCTCTCCTGGGACCCGCACCCTCTCCTGGGACCCGCATCCCCCTCACTCACTATTCAAGGAAGCGGGGCGCCTGGGAGCTGTCACCGCGCTGCAGCTGCAGGAGCTGGAGCAGGAGCTGGAGGGGGAGCAGCTGCAGGCGCGCCGGCTCATGGCAGTGCGAGCCGGGTGGGTCCTCCTCAGGTGAGCGACCTGCTGGCGCACGAGAGGGGCGGGCTGCGGCCGCACCGAGCTCTGCCTCCTAAAAGGCGCCGGCTGGTACTTTTAAAATCTTTGAATTTGGTGCCCAAATCCTCACCGCCCAATGGGACGCGCCGCTCGCACGCGCGTCCCAATTGGAAGGCGGTGGGAGGGGACGCCCTCGCCCGAGTCCAATGGGAGGCTTCGGAGGCGGGGCCAGCCGCGAGGCCGCCCCGCCCTCCTCCGGGCCGGCTCTCCGCGCCCGGAAGGATGCTGAGGCCGGGGGCGGGGCCTGGGCGGGGCCTCGGAGCGCGGGGAGGCCGCGGCCCAGCCACACGTGGAGGGAGCCTACCACGCATGCGCCCACGCGCCCAGCTTCCCTCGGCGGCGGTGGGAACCGGCCTCCGGCGAGTCCCGTTTTCATCCTCAAGGCGGCGCGGGCCCCTCTCTGAGGATCTCCGATGCGGACACAGGGCAGCCGGCTTTCTGCGGCCATCTCCTGGGCGGGAGGCTGGTGAGCGGCACCTCCGGTCGTCTGGGAACGCAGGCTTTCCGGAAGACGAGCCCTCCTCGGCCCGCCTCTCTAGGATTTGGGCGCGCTCCTCTCCACTCCTACCTCCGCCCCTCCTCCCGGCCCAGTGCTTCTGCGCAGGCGCTTTTGGCGGGAGGTGGCGGCGGCGTTGGCGGGTTGACGCCTGCGCGCTGGGGTCCCTCGCGCTTCTCCGGGGGAAGGAGCGGAGCGTGCGCCTTGGGTGCGTCCTCCTGGCGCGCGCACCTGCTCAGCTCCCGCCGGCGCGGGGGCGGAAGGCGGGGAGCCCCGACCCCCTGCGTCCTTCCGGCGAGTGTAGGGTTGAGACCGGGACTTCTTTCTTGTAAGCGTGGCACTAGGGTATTTTGGGCGGGCCTTCAGCTTTTTAAATTTGTATCTAGTTTGTTTGTTTGTTTCCTTCCTTCTAGGGCCGAGCGCGCGACAGTAACCCTGCTCCCAAACAGTAACTCCCTGGAGTTCTGGGCTTCCGGCCCAGGAGTGGTTTGCTAGCGATGGAGGGATGGGTGAACGCTGATTGTTAAGGCTTAGATGACAAGTTGCACTGTTATCATTTTTTTTGCACTTTTGTTATTAATCGTGCTGAACCTTTTGTCACTTTTTATTGGGGACTTAAGCAGGGACAATGCAGTCCCTGGTCTGCGCTCCCGCTACAGCGCAGTGCAGCCACATCATATAAATTCCAAGTCCGAATCCTTGTGTTTGGCAGTGTCAGTGGGTTTTTGTTTTTTGCTTTTCTGCAGCCTCAAGGAGAGTTAACAGTTGGCTTATAGTTAGCGCTCCGTTAAAGCCTTGGCTAGTCCTGTGAGGCCTGCGGGATCTGGATGAGTCATGCCATTGCAGGGTGGAGCCGTTTTTATGTAAAGTTGTGATGAGTTCATCTTAGTTCTTTGCATGCATTTTTTTTTAGAATGTTAGTTTTTTGTTTTGTTTTGGTTTTTTTTTTGGTTACTGAAAATTTGGCATCTCCTTAGTTTGCCTTTTAATTTAAAGTGAGGGTTTATTAGTGAGACAAAGTGAAGGCAGAGCAGTTAGCCTCTTAAATTTTGCCCCTTTAATCATGGGTCTCCCATTACAGAGCCTGGGTTGAAAAGAAGTTCTGGCCTTAGAGAGTTTACATAATCTGTGTCAGTCAGGACTGTAGTTCTAGGTGCAAAATGAGGTGAAGAGGAACTGCCTTTGTTCTTCCAGCAAATTATTAACGTCTACAACTTCTGAGACTTCAGGGATTCTATGAAAATAATTGGGTCATGGTACCTGTCACCTCATACACATGAAATGCTCAGTAGATATTCTTCGAGTAAAAGCATCATGGGATACAAGGGGATAGCAATATATAAGATATAGCTATAATGGAACATTGAGTAGTCAAATACATCAAAAAGTCAAAAACTTTTTATAGAACGGTGGAGTTACTTGTATTTGACAGGGTTTCTCAACCTCAATATCTTTGACATTTTAGGCCAGATGCTCCTCTGTTGTCACATGTTCCTTATGGGGTAAGACTGCCTGTTGAGAAGAGCCACGAGTGTAGGGGATGTGTTTTGAGAGAATGGAAAGGAAGGAAGCCTTCCATGGCATAAAAAAACAAAATCAGGGAAAGCATAAATCAGGTTCATTTATTTGTAAAACAAAAATAAGCTATTTGATAAGACATAAGGGGGTGGTGTGTAAAACGGGCTAATTTGAAATGATGCTGGATACAGATGTGGACCTCTGCACACTTAAGAATCAGTTTTATTTGGGAGGCAGTTGGAACCTACCAGCTCTAACCCAGGGAAAATTTCTGCCATCTCCTGAGCTGAAGCCACACCCTCTCCCCTAGGCCTGCCTTGACCTTGGGGGAAGGGGAGCCCCTCCCAAGGATGTTCTTTCCTTGGATAACCTCAGTCCTAGTGTATTAGAGTTGTCCCCAAGAGCTAATCCCACTATCAGTTAAAACATTTTATCAAAATCACCCCCATTAAAAGTAATGGGACTGCCCTGCCAGTGTGGCTTAGTGCGGGAGCTTCATCCCACTCCCAGAGGTTACAGGTTTCCCAGTCAAGTCAGGGCTCACTGACTGGTTGTCTGCTCAACTCCCAGTAGGGGGTGTGCAGGAGGCAGCCAGTGGTTTATTTGTATCTCATTGATGTTTCTCTCTCTCTTCCCTTCCCTTCTCCTCTCCTCTCTAAAATCAGTAAAAGCCCTCAAAAAAATTTTAATGGTATGGTTTCTGTTTCCTGACTAGACCTTAACTACAAATACAGTATTTACTGTTTTATTTCTGCTATATGTTTGAAGTGTTTTATAATAAACTAATTTTTGATCAGTCTAAATTAAATATTTTACATAAAACAATAACTTTCCTTTGTCTATTTCTTTTTAAGATGTCTAAAATGCATAACCAGAGCCATGATTGTATTATATGTATGTTTTTACTTATACATTTATTTATATAAACCGTCCTAAAAATATGTATATTGCTTCTGTGTTAACTCATGTTTTTCAAGTATTGGTGATTACACACAACCTGATTTGCTGTAGTAGAAGTTTTCATTAGTTGTAAAAGTCTCTGATAACAAATCAATTTAAAGTTTTTTTGGAAATAACTTCTACTAACGATTCATAATCCGCATAGTCTTTCAATGACTGTACAAGTTCATCCAGTAGGTACTCTCCTTGCATAAACGTTTCAAGATCATGAACTGACGTGTTTATCCTGTGATCTGTGACACGATTCTGTGGGAAATTATATGTCCTTATTTTCTCTGACCTTCCTTTGGTTCCAATCTGTATATACAGAAAAAAAAGATGAGATAGTTAAATTCAGGGCAACCAAACCTACAAATTTCACATAACTGGAGATTAAACTCTTGCTTTATAATATGAAACATAAAGTAAGAACCAAGTTTTAACATGATTCCTCCAGTAACGTGGGAGGGAGCATGTTAGAGGAAAACGGGCAGGGGCTGTCAAGGCTGACAGATTAGTTCTGAATCCTCTCTGCCACTTCAGTGCGCCAGGACTTCAGACAATTTATTTCAACTCTACACTTTAGTTTCCCTGTGTGTAAAGTACAAATAATACCTACTACACAGTGATGATGTGTACATAAAGGGTGGCACAGTATTCACATGTAACTATGTAGAATCTGTGAGTTAATTTACATAGTTATCTTCCGTGATGACCAAGTGATGTATTTCCCATTAATATAGTATGAATAAAATGTCTCTATAGTTAAAAATTAAATAATAGGAAGAAAGTTCAGTTGGCTTTCCATCTCATTATATTCAGAATGGAGATGCCATGCATCTTTAGTAAGTGATTAAAAGTCTGAGAAAAACGTCCTGCATAGGTATAAGATTACTATAAAAACAGAATTAAGTGTTTATCCTTTAGAAGTATTTTCACTGCAGTTTTACCTGAATCTTTCTAGCATTGTATCTTTTACTTGTTTCTTCTTCAAGCTGCATGCTGTATAGTTTTGCACGTAACTTTTTCATAGCCATCTCTCTATTTTTCAGTTGAGATCGCTCTTGTTGGCATTCAGAAACAACACCTGAATAGTGTTATGAGAATTGAAAGAGTTTTAATTAAAAAAAATTACCTAGGAATACTCCTTTTCCTTCTCATCCTTTTTTGTCTTCCTTTATGAGACAAACAGGATTCTAAGACTTAATTTTTAGTTATGAGAAAACTCAAAATTTAAGTGCGAACTACAGCACAAAGTACTTCCATATCGAAGGCATACATACTACACAATAAAAATTAAGACCCCGAGACATGTCTCTCCACTCCAACTGCTCTGAAGCTGGCAATGGAGGCAACCATGAAGAATGGACCTTTACATTTTGCCTGTCAGGAGCTGGGACACCTGCTAACATACAGAATTATTCTATTCATTTTGGGAAAAAAGTCATAGATGGGACCTTTCTACATGGGGACCCCCTGTCTGGGACAAGGATGCCAGGATGTTTTCTCTAAAGGTTCTGCAATAACTTCCTGTGGTGAATATGGTTTTTTTACCAGGTGTTATAGTTATTGTCTTTAAGTATCTAGTAACTACAGTATGAATTGTTCTGAGAATTTCACCCTCCCTTACAGTAAGGACATACTACCAGCTGCTAACTAGTTAGTTTCTGATACATGAAGAAGTGTTTATTCATATAGTCCTGCAAAGGACGCTGAGGAGTGGGGGAGAGGGGAGAGGGAGAGACTTGTTTCTTAGGACGAATGACCATCTTTATGCCCCAGAAACATCACATGGTCCAAATCAAGTGTCCTTCTCACAGCCATGGCACCAGACTGCAACAGAGATCTCCTGGCTTGTAGCATGGTAAAAGCTCTGAAAGCCACTTCTAGACTTATACATGGGATAAATCAAGAACTGAGCCAGATTAGGGAGGCAGTTCCAGAGAATCAGGCAGCAATAATTTGTTCTTGTGACGTAAATGTTAGGGGCAAACATAGAATATTGGGGACTAGCTATGGTTATAGGAAATATTAATCATGATCTGTTAAGTCTGATTGCCTTGTTCTGATGAAAGAAGGATATTCTAGCCTGGCTGGGAGTTAGAAACCCAGGGAGTCAACCTTGGGATGAGGTCCCTTCTCATTAAAGAACTGCCTGTTATGGAAAGACTAAAGGCGCGGTGCAAAAAATTTGTGCATTGGGGTGTGTGTGTGTGTGTGTGTGTGTGTGTGTGTCCCTCAGTTCCGCATGTACCCTCTCCAATCCAGGACCCCTGGCACCTGCCTGCCTGCTTGATCGGCCCTAACTGCTCCCCTATTGGCCTGATCGCTCTTAACTGCCTCTCCCTCAGCCCTGCACCCAGGACCCAGGATTCCCTCCTCCAGCTGGCCACAGGTACCTGGGCTTCCCTCCCTCTGGTCAGCCATAGGCACCTGGACCCAGGCTGGCTTCTCCCCAGGCTAGCCACAGCCTCAGGGGATCATGAATGGGTGGCTTTGCATGGGCCACAACTGCAGGCACCTGGGACCATGGGCGAGCAGCTTCTCTCTCTCCTGGGCCACAGGCGCTGGCGCCTGGGACTGCAGTCAGGTGGCTTCACCCAGGCCTTGCTTTGTCAGGAATGCTCAAATATGATTTAAAAAACTAATAATTTAATATGAATTGCTTCTTTATACCCTCAAGGAGGTATCATAATTTAAAAAATTTCAACATATTGAATAGAAACATATATTAAAAAGTTAATCCTATTAATTACCAGAGATCATCACTCTTAATGGTTTTCAATATTTCCATCCATTTTTTTTTGTTCTAGTCCTATGTATAAATAAGACATCATCTTAAAGTTTAACAGAAGTTCCTCATATTTAAGAATATAAAAGTACATCAAACTATCCTTCCCATAACCACTACTGGTCAATGGGATTTATACCTGTTAGAGAAAGGTCACTGTAAGAGAGTCTTGTATTCTCTTTCTAGATAACTCGGGTTTGCTCTCCATCTGCTTTTTATTACAAGTGAATCATTGCAGTTCTACCTAACAGGATACTGCAGGCTCAGGAAGTATTTATATAGCTCCAATGCTAAACTATTAGAACCCCTGACGGTCTGTTCATGGACTTAATGGAAAGAAGACCCTGAAATTATATGGAAAACTTTGCATAAATGCATGTTTCTGGGTAAGGGATCCAAGCTCTCATTTCCTCAAAAGAATCTAAAACTAAAGAAAGCTAAAAACTAGTGATTTAGCAGGGGTCTTCAAACTACGGCCCGCGGGCCACATGCGGCCTGCAGACGAGTCTGATCCGGCCCGCCAGGTTATTTGGGCAGTGAGCGCAGCCGAGGTGTTACAGTAGGAATTAGTAGTTCATATAGTCTGGCCCTCCAGCTCTCTGAGGGACCGTGATCTGGCCCCCACTTTAAAAAGTTTGAGGACCCCTGATTAGAGCATCTATACTAATAAAAGGTTAATATGCGAATTAGGCCAGACATCTTCTGGACAAAGCCACGGTAATGGGGGCTGAGGCAGAGGCGGTTAGGGGCAATCAGGCTGGCAGGGGAGAGTGGTTAGGGGTGATCAGGCAGGCAGGTGAATGGTTAGGAGCTAGCAGTCCTGAAATACGAGAGGGATGTCTATGACTGCCAGTTTAGGCCTGATCCATATGGGACTGGGCCTAAACTGGCAGTCTGACATCCCCTGATTTCTTTCTTCAATATTCTGTGTTGAAGAAGTGAGTACATACCTGTTGGAAGATGAACTATCCGGACAGCACTGTCAGTGGTATTTACATGCTGCCCCCCAGCTCCACTGGCTCGCTTAGTATCAATTCTCAAGTCTTTAGGATTAATCACTAGATTAATCTGTACATAAGAGGAAAATCTGGTGTTAAAAGTATTACATATATGAACTCTTCAAAAGAATGAAATAGCCATTTAGAAATACATGTTATGTATAGAACTTATGAAATTTAGAAGATTTAATAGAAGGTAGTTAGAAGGATACAATTTTTTAAACTTTTCATTTTGGAAGAGTAGCAGATCAAAATATACTATAAAACAAACCTAATACTCAGAAACTGGACTTCTCTATAAATTATCCTCTTCTAACCATAAGAACAGCAGAACTTATGTTACTATTAGAAATGTAAATTAGAAATCTCATTTGAGCTGAAATGAGATTTTGCCAAATATTTCTGAGTTCAAGACTTTGGCAGATGGGAAAAACAACGCTAGCTTAAGAACTATGGGAAAGGCATATTTTGTTTACTTTTAATTAAAGGAGGACTTAAATATTTTTGGAGGCAGAGGCAAAGGAAAATTGCCAAGCCAAGACTCAATTCATAAAAACACTGAAATCCAATGCCAGGCTAATGCTCTGTCCTGGGAATCACCATCAGAAGCACTGGATTAAAAAAACTTTCATGAATTACCGTGGACCACTCTGTACCATGTCTACAATCTACCAGTAAGAATCCTGCCATCCACAAGCCCTCCCTTCCTCTCTACAAGGTGCTAGAAGAATTAGATGATTCATGGACCTCACTTTACACCTTTTCTGGAAAACTCTCTTCTTCCATCCTCAAGATGCTTGAACCAAAGTGATTAGTATCTACATATGGCTCCTGTTACATAGTCAAATAGCACTTTCATCCCCAATTAATAAAGAGAAACCCTTAATTAAACTTCCTTCTCAAATCATATCATTTTGAAAGACAAGTCAAATATTTCTTATCACTTTTCAGCAGAAGAGATGTGATACAGAACATCCCCACTATTTTATAAATATTATAAAAACTGAGATTTTTCTTTGTGAGAAGAAAGTATACTCATTGTGAACATTAAGAATATGTTTCCATTTTAATGTGAGTGGGTTATGAAGTAGTAATTGTCACCTTGTTGAAACAGGATTCCTGCTATTGATACTCTTGAGAACCAATCAACACAAAGCAAAAGTCATACAGTCTTAATCTCTAATTAAATTAGGTTAATACTATTTCTCCTGAAGAGATGATCTCAATATAACTGCTTTAAACTTCACAGTAGAGAAAACTTAATAGACAGTGCACAAATTGATGATTTACATATCCTTAATTCTTCCCATCTATAAAAATAAAAGTGTAATATTCTAATTAGACGGATGATCTTCCAGACAAAGCCAGGGCTGCGAGGGAAGCCTGGGTCCCGGGTGCCTGCTGGTGGCCAGAGGGAAGCCAGTGCCGGCAGCCAAGGGCAGGAAGGCCTCCTATTGTGTGAATTTTGTGCATCAGGCTCCTGGTCCTATCTTATATAATAAAAAGCTAACATGCAAATCGACCGAAAGGCAGAATGACCGGTTGCTTTGATGCACACTGACCACCTGGGGGCACATGCTCAATGCCGGCACTAACCCCTGGAGGTCAGTGAGCTCCCACAGGGAGAGCACCGCTCAGAAACCCTCAGCCGAGTCCACGGCTGGTGAGTGCAGCAGTAGTGGCAGGAGCACTAACAATGTCTGACTGACGGCCTAGGGCCCTAGGCTCACTCCCCGTGCACTGGGTCTCTGGTCTGTTACAAAGCCATCCTTATTGGACTGATATACATTTCCAGAACTAACCCAAAGTCTGTGATGAAGGCCAAATATGACCAGGAGACACACAATTCAGTCAAGTGAGTGTCACTCTGGGACAAAGCGCTGTGCTAGGCCCATGGTTCCCAGGAGAGGGGACTGTGATCCTTACCTCGGTGGGCAGGGGCAGTATCGCCACGGTCATGGTGCTGGTGTGAATGCGGCCCTGCTTCTCTGTCTTGGGCACTCGCTGCACTCTGTGCACACCTCCTTCAAACTTCATGTGCCGATAGGCCTCTGCACCCCCAATGCTGGCAGACGCGTGTCTAAGCCCCCCTTCAAAGCATGGGGAAAACAGAATCCTTTCTTTATTCTTATCATTTATTAACATCTGACCATCACTTCTACCATTTTGAGACATATTTTAAAAAGCTACAAAACAACCTATAGATGGTAAAATATGCTGAAAAACTTGAACAAGTCTATGATGGTGTTTTAATACGTAATATATTTATTGCTACCCTAAAGCATTTATGGTGTTTACTGGCTCAATAACACATCTAAAATACCACTTTTAAAAGACAGTCATTCAGTGGTTAGTACTGACTAACATTTTTTAGGCTCTTGACATATTTGCATTCAAACTTATTTAAGTAAATGATGAGCATAAAACTACTTAAGCATCCTTACAAATACATTCGAAAGCCTAGACTTCCCAACTCTTTTCTTAGGTCACACGTAGATAAAGCTACACTTTCCCCAAAACAAATTAAACAGTTCACTGACCTATTTCACTTGGAAAATATTCCAGGGTTTCAAAATGCCATCTTTTAAAAGCAGCATATTGCTGATACATATCAAACATCTCTGACGTAAACAACATTGCCTCCTGACCCCCAACGCCTGCAGTTACCTCCAGGATCAAATCATTTTCATCTGTTTCTTCTGAGGGAACCAAAAGTGAGATAATCTGTAAATAAAATAAAAAAACCACCCCTTCTGTAATAAATCATTACTTAAAACTTTGAAAAGGAGGTAAATGGTTAAATGCAGGATTTTAATATTACCATCTATGTTATAAATGTTTTAAGTTCAGCTAAAACTTACAGGGTTTTTTTTTTTTTTTTGGTGTTCACGTATACTTTAGTTTTTTATTCAGTGAATGATGAAGTACTTGCTGTGAGTAGAACACTATTGTGTGAAGAAAGCAAAAGAATCTATCCTTTTGAAATGTCCAACCTAGTATGATAGAAAAAAACTGCATTTAAAAAAAAATCTTTAAGTGGAAAAGAAACTTGCAATTTTGGAAGTGAAAAGGCCCTTGGAAAACCTGGTACAATTCCCTCATTTTACACCTGTAAAATGAGGTTAACAAAAGTCAATGATTGGTTAAATATTCTACTCACTGTCTATTTTATATAAACAAGAGAGAGGATATAGAATAACAATATTACCTTGCCTTTTTGGCAAATTCTATTCATGAACATTTATCTTTCTGCCAGAGTTTTATAATTCTTTTAGAATGATAAAAATACCTTTTTCCAACTTTAAAAAACAGCTTATATTTCTAAATACCAATAAACTATTTAAGTCCTAAGTTGTTTTTATTAACATCTAATAAAAGTCTTTAGAAATAACATTACTAATGCTACTTTATTCTTTGTATAAATACTATACCTGATGCTTCAATTGAGCTATTTCTTTTTGACAGGAAGCTATTTCATTCTCTGCAAGTTTCCTTAGGTCTTCATTTTCATCTAAGAGATAAAGGCAATAGTAGGTTAAGTTTTCTTTAATTATTGCTAAATTGCCAACAGAATTTAAGGAAATAATTTTATTGTTGTTGTAGCTGAATGGAAAAAATAAAATACCTTTCTTATCCTTTTAATAACTGCAATGACAAATAGCATTTTATGCGTTTGTTTTCATAAACTTGTAGCTTTAAAAATATTTTGCTGATAAAGCATTAAATAAAATGAAAAAATAAAAGGTAATCTAGCCAAAACCGGTTTGGCTCAGTGGTAGAGCGTCGGTCTGCGGACTGAAAGGTCCCGGGTTCGATTACGGTCAAGGGAATGTACCTTGGTTGTGGGCACATCCCCGGTGGGGTGTGCAGGAGGCAGCTGGTCAATGTTTCTCGCTCATCGACGTTTCTAACTCTCTCTCCCTTTCCCTTCCTCTCTGTAAAAAATCAATAAAATATATTTTAAAAAAAAAAGGTAATCTATATAAAGAAGCTTTTGAACTATCTTTAATTCTACCTACATGGAATGTTCATATTAACAAATATTCTTTGAGTTTCTCCTAAATCGCTGAATTGGACTCTGCTTAACCCTGACCTTGACTGTTGCACTAGCCTTCACGTCACCTTCACCCTCTCCAGGCTGGCTTGTAAACCGCCACTTCCAGCTTCCTGAGCCACCAATTTATTCTGAACATCCACTCCCCAATCTAAAAACTTCTGCTGGCTCCCTTCAGCCAACAGGACAAACCAACCTTTTTGCATTAGTGTTTGATGCTTCCCTTGCAATCCTCCAGCCCCCACAGCCTCGCCTCTCCCGCGGTTTAAGGAAGAGTCCGGTGATTAAAAGCACAGGATCTGGAGTCATTCCAAGCCAAACTCTGTTCCTTAAAAAGCTGTGTAATCTCCGTGGCTACTTTCCCTCCATGCTGCAGGCTCCTCTTCTCTCACAGAGGCCAACAGTACCGACCTTCTGGTTTGTTATATGAACCGGATGAATGAATAGCTCAGGAAAGCTAAGCCAAGCCTGGAGTATGTATGGTAAAGGATCCATAAGGGTTAAACTACATTATGTCCTCTAAGGATGGGCCTTTATTCTTTTTTTTTTTTTAATTGATTTTCATTGTGAAAGTTTTACAGACGTCCCCGTTTTCCCCCTTGAACCCCTCCACCTCACACACACACTCCCCAGGCCTTTACCGCACATAGTCTGTGTCCATGGATTATGCATACAGGCCTTCCCAAGAAGTTCTCCTTGCTCTAGGTCTATTCCGATACCTGTTCTCATTTTTAGCTGTGTTATACTTAATTCTCTTTCCCCAAATAACACGGTGACCCCCTCGAGAGCCCTGCTACCCAGTGAACTGTCCATGAACCAGACAATAGTTTGGCAGCCCTGAGAGCTTATCGAAAGGCAGACACTTAAGCTCCATCCAGATCTGAATGCATGCTAGCCACTTGAGAAACTTGTGAAAAACACACATGTCTCAGATTCCGAGTCACATGTCTGGTTTTACCAGGCGCCTGTCCCGAAACCACTGCAGGGGCTCCTCTGACCACACCGTGGGCGGCGCCGCGGGGGGCTGTGTCCGCGGCACACAAGGGTGAGGCTCAGAATGCACTCATCGGTGCCGAGGCCTCTGATCCAAAACCCAAAAGGGCTGCAACCCCGGGGACCGTGCAGACACCTGACCGGAGCTCAGCGGGAAATGCCAACGCCGCGTCAGGGGCCTGTTCTGCACCCCGATCCCCGGGGCGGCCTCACCGTGCAGCAGGGGCTCGGTCTCCCGCAGCTCCCGCTCCTTCTCGCTCAGCCGCCGGGCTGCGGCCGCCAGCTCGGGGCCGCGGGCCTGCACCGGGGCCGGAGCCTCCGCCTGGCGCTCCAGGAAGCTGCGCAGCGGCCCGCCGCGGGCGAACAGCTCCTCCACCGGCAGACACCCTCCGCTCCGGTGCCGGCGGCCCGGGGCCGCTGCCGGGCGCGCCCAGAGGCCCCGCACGGCGCCCCGCAGAAGACCGGGCCGCATCGCTAAAGCACACCCGGCCACGGCGGACCGACGCCGGAAGTGCCCTCCGGAGCGAGTCTCGCGACACCGCGCGGGGTTTGGAACTAGGGGCGAGAGCTGACGGAGCCCGGCCCAGTACACGCGCCGCCGCCCGGTTTAAAGGGCCTCCCGGAACTTCCGGCCAAGCCTTTAAACGCCGCCATGGTCGCACAGGCCGGAAGTTGGGGGCGCAGAGCGGAAATCGGTGGTGGCGGGTCCGGGAGGCCTCGGGCCCCTCCTCTAAACGCCGGGTAGTGAACGCCTCCTGGAACTTCACCGACTGGGAAAGCCTGAGGCCGCAGCTCGGTCTTCAGACGTGGAGGGTTGTTTCCCAGGCGTCGCGCGAGGGCTTCCGGGCACCGCGTGGGGCGCAGTCTGCCGTCCGCTCCGAGGCCGAGGTCCCCGCGAAGGAACTGCCGGGGCCGGGCCGGCCTTGCGTTCCAAAGATCGGATTGTTTGGAAACTGGGCGAAAGCGGACCGTTTCTTTTTCCATCGGCGCCTGAGGCTCATGCTAATTAGGACATGACTGGTGTGCTTCGAAGGCCACCCAGGAGCGATTTCACGACACCTTCCTTCCGGTCCCCTATCTGCCAGGGAACTTGCTCCCAAAGGCCTTCCTCCCTCACCCGATCTCCTGCGGGTCCCTTCAAATTCCTCCTTAGCGACTTTGTAAGGAGGCTGCGATGCCGCCTTCCAGTAACCCACAGGGAGCAAAGCCTTCAGAGCCTGACCCTGCGGCCTGTTCCCCCAAACCTCCCCCCAAAATTCTGCAAAGCGGATTGGGGCCGCAGTGCTGAATGTTCATGGACATAATGCTTTTCATTATTCAAAAGTTCCTTTCTCACCGACCAGAGGAGTGGATATAAGGAGTGAAATACCTGGCTTGCAAGGACTCAATCTGGGAAGCTCCACTATCTTATTCTTACGAAATGGGCTTGCGATGCCTCGATTCCTTCTCTAGCTCTACTACAAATGCACAGTGAATGGGAGAGGTAGATGCATCTCAAGTGCAAGGCAAAAATAGGTGTTGCCACTTCAAAGCTCCAACTAATCACCTTAATTGTGTGTCTCGGTTTGGATGTGTATTCAAGCCACAGGATAAAGTTGTGTTCCTTTAAGATAGTGGTGGAAGCCCATAGTAATTCTGGTCCGATGTACAGCAGGACTGACACAATTGCTCATATCTGTATTAAAACTTTGAGTTTTGTGTTTTTTTTAACCATAGAAATGGGAGTCATTTGAACTCAACATGATAAATCTCTCAGCTAAATTCTCAGTCATTTTGAGAGATTTATATTAATAAAAGGTGCAAAAATTCAATCAACCTTAAGGAACAATGTAAAGAATCTAGTCAAATTATTTTCCCAAGGATGTGTAAGCAATTTAAGTAATATAAATAAGTGTACCTTGTACCCTATAATGTTACACCAATGAGGAAACAGTAACTTGTTAAGGATATATTGGTGGATTCTTTATTGATTCAAGACATTTTAAAGTCAGTGTAATGCATGTGCATTTTACAATAATATCCATAGGTTCACACAATATGGTCCAATGAAAACAGCTGTAATTTGATTTACTTTGAAAACTCAAATATACATAGTTTGAGACTTATAAGTTTTCTTACATTATTGTCATGCTCAAATTCTATTACATTTGAAAATGCTAGCATTTTCAGTGTCTATTGTACATAGGTAAAATGATAAAATAGACCCAAGAAAAAGGGAACAAAACCCAAAAGTTAAATGGGAGGAAAATAATCTGGATTATCTGTTCAGTTTGTAGATACCTACAGTTACTCTGGCATTACAAAATAGCCAAGCATGGTATCTCTTCAATTGTATTCATGCATTCACAATTGATTTATGGCCAACTAATATTGGTGGGGTCCAAAATAACGGTATAGATTACTAAGTACAGTGAACATAGTAGTAAAAAATGACATGTTCAATATGATAAATTTTACAGAACGAATCACATTTAAATTATTTTTTATACTCAGCAGATATACTAAAATCATATACAGGAAACTGTATTTATGTCAAATAAGTTAAAGCAAGGGAAACGATCAAGTTTTTTTTACCTTATTTCAATATTCAGTGTTTATTGTTCATTGGAGGGCAGTATAGAAAAAACTCAGCAAAATAATTATCAGTTTAAATTAGCTACTCTGACAATTAGTAAGACTAAAGTCTTTACTATCAGGGAGATGTAGAGGATTAAGGTAATTATACTATTTTAAAGGAAAAAATTCCCCTCCATTAAATGAATATTCAAGCTAACACTGTTTTGGAATTTTTCCATTTCACTTTTCAGTTCATTGCATTTTTTTCATCGTACTTGTTAGCAATCATTTAATGGAAACTAACAGCACTGCTGAGGAATCTGTTCATATTTTTTTTTTAGCCCAGTATAAATGTCCAGTAAATTTACATGCAATAATACCTCTTAAAAATCTATCACTTTACAGTAAAGAAACCTGAAAAACACTATCTCAGCCCGATGATCAAGTCGGTGTTTACCTCTTCTGACATGTGATATATATGCCACTTTACTTCTGGGGTCTTCCTTCCCAAAATGGTAACACCTCTCTAATCATGGGGAAAACATCAGACAAATTCCAACTGAGGAACATTTTGCAAAACATTAAGCCATCATGCTCCTTAAGTCTGTCGAAGTCATCAAAAGCAAGAAAAGTTTGAGAAACTGTCACAGCTAAGAGGGGCTGAAGGACACAAGATGACTAAATGTAATGTGGTATCTTGAATGGGATCCTGGAACAGAGAAAGGTAAAAGCTAAGGGAACTTGAAACATAGACTTAATGCGCTGATACTGGTTCATCAGGTGACAGCTATCTCACGGGTGTGCTGCACATGGAAACTCTCTGTGCTATCTTTGCTGTTTTTCTGTAAACTTGAAATTATTCAAAAATAAAATGTTAATCCTAAATTTTATGAGCAAATATATTTATTCTTTTATTTTCATAGTAAAAATTAATTTTAAAATCATACTACTCTAATATTAAAAATGCTTTCTAGTCCCTGTTGATAGCAATGTTTGCTAATGGCCAATCTCATAACAATTTTAGTTCTACACCCCCATATTTATTTGGCAAATTATTTAATATTCATATTTAATATTACACACACACATCTAGCCATATATAGATCCATGTGTGTGATTTTTTTCTTAATTGTAGATTCAGAGTGATGTTAGTGAACTGAAAACAGTGATTTTGAATTACATTATTGAACAAAGCATGACATTCATACATTCTTCCATCTAAAAATAATCTTGGTTGTATTTTTTGGATGAATAACTAAATAATACTTTTAAAGTATGATTTGAAAAAATATATAGAAGTGCATTAAAATGACATTTAATGTATACATTCTTGAAAAATGGGAATTACTATTGAGCTGGAGAATTTGTTAAAATAACACTTTATCCATTTCATTTCTTTCTATGATCATCTGATAGAGAACATTCCTCTTTTGAAAATGAGGAAACATGCTCAGGATACATGGTTTGCCCAGTCATACAGGACAGAAATGTAGCTAGAAACCAACTTTGTAATTAAAGCTTCATATTTGTAAATAAAACTCAACAACCTATAGTGTGTTGCAAGGATAATATTAAGAATATTTCAGGGAAGATCTGAAACAAGTTTTTGGTATCAGTTTCATTGATAAATATTTTCAGTTGTGGCAAGTGAGGAACAACTAAAATTTTTACGGATTTAATGTTATTTTCTCAGGAGAACTAACATTGTATATTGGTCAGAAATTTATAAAGAACTGAAAAGAGGACATAAATAGGAGCATTTGCAAAAGTATTCTTTGAAAATTAACCCTTATAACTATCAATAGAAATACACATGCCGGAAAATTTTCTGGAAATAGCTTGACCACCTTTCACAATAATTTGCCACTGTACACAGTGCAAAGTTTTCAAAATTCATGTTTTATAGGGTCCTAGTTAAAGGCATTATACCTAGGAAATTGAGGTGGCACTCAAAAGGTTCTTATTTTATTTTCTGATTGTACATTTTTTCCCCTCAATGCATCTGATATACTGTATTTTTTGAAAATGTAATTTGCCGCAATTATCATGACTTATAAGTTGAAAAATGCATAGGAAAATAGATAAAATTAAAAACTAAGAATCAGATACTATTTTAAATCAGCTTAATATGGTGAAAATGTATTTTTGCCCCTAATAAGTAAACATCAGCTACCTTTTTCCATAGTCCTTTTGCAAAACTGAATTATTGGGTAAAAATATGATATACATTTCATTCTTTTAGTAAGAATCTAGGCAACATTAAAGGATACTTACTATTAAACACCCCATGCACCATAACCAAATATCAGAACTGGTCATCCTATGTACAGATTTTAAGATTTAAAAAAAGCAAAAAAAAAAAAAAAGCATATTATGGTCTTGATTTTTCCATTGAATAACATTGACATCAACATTGTGTTTTGCTATAGTTGTTCATAGGCCAGTGCACTTACTACGCTTACAGCTGCCTTGTAACACTGTTGGGGTATCGATCTTACCTTTGGATAACTTAATAATTCTCTATAGTAAGGAAGAAGTGTCATCCATCCATTATTAGTGTGATCTATGTACAAGACCCACGTCTGGCTCTCCAATTTATTTCTATATATTTATATATAATCTAGATCCTCTACTTTTCTTTCCATCATAGGCACTATAGAAAAAGCATTACTCTCTCTGTGTGTGCATTAGCAGATTCTAACAGTATACAAAGCTCTTGGCAATCTGAAACACGTGTGTACCTTCTAAAGTGCTCATTTTTCCTCCAGAAGGAATTCACTCACTAAGAAAGCCTAATTCTACCAAAACAAATATTGTGCTCTTGGAATGGTAGCATAGACACCATTTGAGGGCATTTATTTTATTATTATTATTATTATTATTATTATTATTTGCTTATTATAGCTCTGTAATTAAAGCAAATCTGTAGAGTTGCAAATATACAGACATACTCTTAGAAACTTTAAAATTAAATGAGAAACCCTCCCCTCCCCCCAAAGTAGAAATTTAGCACAGAAATGCTACTTAGCATGGTTAGCAATATCTGATGTGTAAAAGCTACTCTAGAATCATTTGCAAAACAACTTCCTAATCAGGTTTCAAAAGGATATACTAACTTCAAAATCTGTATTCTACAAATGCCCAGGTTATAGATCAGGACTCTTTATAAAGACCCTTATCTTTTACATTTGGTAAAATATTAAAAGTATTGTCAAACAGACAATTCATCTAAGAACCCAAAGTATCTTATAAAGATAACTTACGACTAGCAGGTCACCATAATATATAGTAACAACAAGAATATAAAGTGTACATTTAAAAGATTGATGCATGCAATATATCATAATATAGTACATATTTTCTAGTCATGTGCACCAATTTATTGTGCTTCAAACACAGCAACAAGTATGATATTACAACATATATGTGTATACATCATAGTAGCATAATAAACTCAATTCTAACAAAAAAATTAAATAATTCAGGAACAATAGAACTTCACAATAGAAGTGATGATTCTTTTAGGTTTTTCTTCACTCTTTAGGAAAAAATATGACTTTTTGTAAACATCTTTATCATTTTTCAACATATTACTGAAAACCATTATTCAAATAGCAAATATCTAATTGACAAGGATAAAGTATGTCTAAACACACTAACACTTTCAGACAAAAACAGGCATTTGTTAAAAGAAATTATCATTATAAATATTTCCTATCTTGTATTTTAAGTACATTTTCATAAATAATGTGTTTAAAAGTGCTGAATACGGTAGGATAGTCAGCAACGCCAGTGTAAACAGAACATTTTTGTTTTCTACTCTTCAAACATTTTTTTAAATCCCATTTTGTTAAACACTGCAACAGTTAAAATATTTGCATAGGGAATAGATAATAGCCCTTTTAAACTTATCTCCTGAATCCTATATAAATTAGAAAATTAAATTCACTTAAAAAAACAATTCTTAAAATGTGTTAAGTTTATGGAAAAAGAAACTTACAATGCCAACCGTTCAAGTAAAATAAAATTTAAAAAGAAACCCCAAAGTTGTTTTTTAAATGTTTAATAAATTAAAAAATGAGAGGTAGTTAAAAATGACAATGAAAACCTACAATTTTAATATCATCCTTAATATAAGGCCAGTATTTTCATTGGATATAAATATTTTTAAAACTTTCATTTTAGGTTACTCAATATTATATTTAATAAGTGTAACATTAAAAAAATAGCCTCCAGGGTATATTAATATTCAAATGTAATGTCTTGATATAAATCTGACTCTGACTTTTTTGTGTTGGTGCACAATAGGATACTGTTTCTTGAATGTCAAAAGTGCATGCCAATGTCAGGCAAGTATTTTGTCTTAAAGATTTAGTGATACTTTAAAAAATAATATGGCAGCTAGAAGATTTGAGCACTGTACTGCCTTTCAATTATGGATGAGAATTAATAGTTTGGTTCCAACATTTTTAAATTAAGTAATTCTTAAGAGACTATGTGAAAACAGTTAAGGTCTGAAATAGAGAATTACTAGTATCTTCTTTATAACCCTTATAAAACTTGTGTTGGTTAAAAACTTAGATTTTCACTTTCAAGGAAACTATGCCATGGGGATAGATGTTTTTCATCAACATTTTTGGTTATGCTACATGTAGGCATTCCTTTCCTTATATTTCAAAACTAAGTTATCAAGCTTATCTTTTTTTCCTGCTAAAGTACATACATTACACAACTGTTTTAGAACTGGAGAGCCAGCCTTTAATAAATTAATTACAGTATTGGACATGTGATATATACATAGATTCATTTTCTTCTGTTACAATTAAAAACAATATCACTCTTTGATTTGTCATTGAGATAGAAGATCTTCAAATTATTTTGTGCTTTTTTTCTCTTTTCATCTTATTATTTTTTTTACACAACAAATGCTTCTGTAATAAAAATGCCACAGTTTTGGCAGTGAACAACCAGAGGAATGCCCCATTGGGATTTCCCAACAAACAGAGATAAATAGCTCTTTTTTCATGTACAGATATATTGGCTTCAAAATGAGTGTACTGAACACAGTAGATAGCATGTTGAATACTATTGTTTACAATTTTAAAATTGGCTTTGTCTGTCTTAGGTTATATTTAAAAACGCAAACTACAGCCAACTTTTTTGGCAATTATTTCTGTAAGACCATATTGCACAAAAGTCCTTAAATACAGATATAAGTTATGTCATTGGATTAAATATTACAACAACTACATGGCAAATGAAGCAGTTTGACTTTGCACATGCAGTCTCTGGAAATACACTAGGAGACTGTTCATAGGACTACAAATACAGTTTGCTTGCAAGTAGAATGAGTGTTGAGTAAAACAAACTTAATTTGGCAATTTGTTGTCTTATGTGGCATTTTCTCCAAAGTTAACCGTGGATAACCTTGGTAAAAATGGAGACAAAGACCATATGGTTTTATTTTCACAGTAGCCCGAGGAATGCTAAACTGTCGTCCTCCAGGAACTCCGTGTCTGGTGTTATATGACAACTTTTATTTCCCATCCCAGCCCTCCAAAATGATTTCTTTAAATGAAAATTAAGATTCAGAAGTAGAACTGGCAGTACTTTCAACAAATGACTTATATATTTGAGAGTTCAAAAACCTTGGAAAAGAATCTCTGTGCATTAAGGTATATATCTGAAGTTGGGCATCTTCATACATGTGAGGATTGGGATCCAACAGATTTCTATTGATCACCTCTCTAACTCGAGAATCAAGACTGACCTAAAAAGAAATAAGAGCAATACATTAAATCATATTTTTTTCAAATTTTCTCAAATAGCTAGAGGTTCATGACACATTAGAGAAATTCCAAAGAGTAAACCCAGCTACCTAAATCTAAATCTTAAGGTTATCTTTTTTAAGGCTATATAACCTTGCATACTATTCTCCTTCAAAAATTAAACTAAAAAACAAAAATCAAACAAATAAACAAAAACAAAACAAAACATCATTTTTGACAATTTATATTTATTGTTGGGGTAGCAGAGAATTCCCTCCTACTAGTATGTGACATTGGGAGAGACCCTCTATATGGAACAAGGTAGATACCTTGCAAAGCATAGTTCTCTGGAAAACATTGACATCTGTACCCAATGCTTATAGTTTCATATTCCAAGTTATTCTTTGTCAAGAGTAGAAAACCAGGAATGTGGAAGTTCCTAATATAGCAGAAGCACAACAGAGATTCTTTATGCCTTAGGTCTACTTGGCAAGGCCTAGGAAACTATCATACAGTTCTCCCATCAGAATACAAGCAAAGATCTCTGTACTAAACATTAAGCAGAGGCAGCTGCCGATTGCACATCCACTCACGGTCTCCTTGACAAATCAAAATCCTGAAGTGACCTCAGGGTCTTTAAAATGTCAACTATAAAAATGGGCAGAATTTTCCTTGGTCATATTGGTGGTACCCATCTGGGTTTTTTGGTGTTTTTTTTTCCAAACTGACACTCAGAACTCATTTCCACTCAGTTCCCAGGGGTCAGTGGGCAGAGCATTTCTTTTTAACAAGTTCGTTAGGGAATTAGCCTTCAGTACAGGAAAGTTCAAGACTAGGTAATGCTCACTGGCTATCATAGAGTTCCAGATATGAGCTGTAAAAACTGCAAGAGCAAACCGAGCTGGATCTGTGAGTTTGCCACTGAAGGCAACCAGCTTATAAGGAAGGCCCTGTGGTCCTACAGCGTGCTCTAGTTTGAGACAGTGAGGGTCTTCGGGAGCAGGTGCCATCTGATAACTCTTGAAGAAAAAGAGATAACTTCCTCTCTGCCCTAGTCTCCTTCCCTGAAAACAAAAATTTCATCTATACACTGTCACCTTAGCATCAGAGTTGGATTCATGAACTATGAAACAAGAGGTTATGAGAACCTAAAAAGGAACATTTCTTCCTTTCTTTTTAAAATTTTCTATTTTCCACCCAACAACAGTGTGTAGAGAGAATATTATGCAGATGCTATTAGTTTTTCCCCCTACTTTTCCATCTTGAGGCAGAATAGTCTATCTGCACCTACCTGGTGGACTACATGAGGGGGAAAAATAGTCTATTAGAGTGGGAAAGTATGTCTTATGTAAATTTTGAAAGGAAAATGTGTCAAGAGCATGGTTTTTAATCTTATCTAGGCTTCATCTTAAAATGTTTTTTAAGCCCCACTATTTCACTTGATTTACTAGCTTCAGAGAAGCGATCCGAATTTGTGATCAGGGTGAAAGGTTGAGTGTCAGGATGGCTTGTGCTGGTCATTGTGCTATATTCTTCTTGGAGATGAACCAGAGCACCAAAGCCCATTCTCCCTTGTTCTGGACTCAAAGCTGTCACCATTCCGTGATATCTGCCACCATGTACTTGGTGTTGATGGATAACTTTTCCTGAAACGGGGCAGAACTGCTTGGTTGTCCTTTCATGTAACTTAAACGCAGTAATATGAGTAAAGTAACAGTTAAATGTTAAAAACAAAAAGGCAGGATAATTGCTTAAAGTGGAATCTTTGAAAGGAGAAACATAAATATTGATAGGAATTCAGAAAACTCATTAATCAATATAATGTCATTTGAAAAATATACAGAAATTCTGTAAGTGATTCTGTTATCATTTTTCCTCACAAATGCTAATCTTGTTGGAACTGGTAAGGCATGTTGGTAAGGTAAGTGGAGAAAAATTAATCTCAATAAGTGAAACAGAACTAAGCTCTGCCCTGAAAGGATATATTAGCAAAACCCTAAAAGAGGCAAACCATCACTGAGTCCTGACTGATTTCCTCAGTCCTTACTGTTTTTACAAGTAGTAGGGCACCCTGATCCATAGTTCTATGTTTCATGATGTACTCAAGTCTATACAAACCTTTCATATTTATACCTAAATGTCTCATCACAGTTATCTTTCACAAGCTTTTTTGTTCTGACTTCTTGTCCCATCCACTGTTTCAATTATACCCAGAGCTGGATTCAGTCCAAATGATGGACCTCACATTCTGGTGTCCCCAGATCTCTGAGCTCTATAGTCCACATGGAACTAGGTTGACTGATACACCCTTGGGATGCTATTACGGGAGGATTTGTTAGGAAACAGTTGATGTGTTTTTGCACAGAAAGGTCAGAGAGATGTAAGATTGGAAAGGGCTCCAGGATAGCTACAAAGGGCATGCTATACTGAAAGTGTATCAGTGAGTTAAGCCATTGGACATGGCTATACTATGTCTACACTTTGGCTCAACACATAACTTGTTAACAATTGTCTTTTATAATGGCAAATATCTAGTGGTTTTGGTTTATTTGATTTTGCTGCAAAACAATAATCAAATACAAGAGTGGGCAAAAATAGATTTACAATAATTAATAAATTATTCATACAAGAATAAACCCTGTGTTTCCTGAACTCACAACTGTAAACCTCCTTGGGACTATCCCTGTATGATTAGCATGTTGATAGGAAAGCAATCAACTGGCTAAACAAAGGCTGTTCATACAGTCCCAAACTTAGATTCTATGTTATATTCTTTACAAATCAGCATATTTGCAAGTAACAGTAATAAAAATTTGAATTTTACCTTTCTCTCTGTAGTATTTTCAGGATATTAGAGAGTGAGTATGGCCCAATTACAGGTGTTAAAAAAATAAAGGAGAACATAGATATGACTATTACATTAAATACTAGTCTATTTAATTTAGCAAAGATTGTGTTTGTGATCAGAAAATATTATTTTAATGACCGCTATGGGAAACTAAAATTCAAGTCTAAATTGGGCTGGAACAAAACTCCATTTCTTTCACAAAGAGAATGAAAATCCTATAGTTTATCTTTCAATAATCAATAACTATGATTTCCCTAAACTATGGCCCAAAGAAGAAGTAATTTTGTGAAAATTAAGTATTTTGCGAAGCTCCATCAGTGACACATGGGAATCAGGAGCTGTGAGGACAATGGGAAAGTGTTTCCCATAAAAAACTAAAAATTAGAAAATGTTGACTAAAGTAGAAGAACTATATATACTTAATACAGAAACTATGTGTGTGTTTTTTTTCCTACTAACATTATTTTAAAATGGAATAGTCATCATTTTAAGATGACATCTAGATAAGACGAAGGAATGGACTGATAATCTAGGCAATTACCACTTTAAGATGACACATATTTTGGGAAGAGAAATGGACTGGGTAAGGCTCTGTAATTATGTATAATATAACTAGAAGGAACAATTGGTGTGCGTGTGTGTGTGTGTGTGTGTGTGTGTGTGTGTTTGTGTGTGTGTGTTGGGGGGGTGGGGAGGGGCGGGGAGATCAGCCCAGCCTGTGCCCACTTGCAATCCGGGAACCCTCACTCCTAACTGCCCATCTTCTCTCTCCTTACCGCTTGTCTCCAGCTCCTTAGCGCTGCAGTGGAGGCGGGAGAGGCTCCCACCATTGCCTCTGTGCTCACCAGCAGTGAGCCCAGCTTCTGGCTAAGCGCACTGATTACCAGGGGACAGCTCCTGCATTGAGCGTCTGCCCCCTAGTGGTAAGTGCATGTCATAGCGACCAGTCATTCTACCATAAGGATAGGTAGGCTTTACTACATAGATTGTGGGTAAGAGAAGCATGCCTCTGGGCTCATTTTAATTATTTGATATATTTGCCATGCAATGAAATATTAAATTAAAAACGAGAAAAAAAAGTTATTGTGCTAATAAAATCCAAGCAGTATTGATTAAATGCTAAAGTTCTGGGTAGACCGGAAGCCTGAAGAATGTATTTTTAGGATGCAGAATTATAATGTCATTAGAAATACAAAGGCACCTGGAATAAATGTATCAAGGCTACAGAAATAACTCTCCCCACCTTGTTGCTATGAATACCTTTCTCATGTTAATACAGGAAATAATTTTATAAACAACAACAACAATCTTTTTGTATGTAGTTCAAGGTTTCTCATCTTTAAGACACAATATGATTGGAGTACTCTGGACTATCAATGACACTTATAATCTAATAAAACAGTGAATTCTTTAGGTATACATTAGAGTTGAAGTAGTTGATACAGACTTTCAAGCATAGAGATTGCTAGAGTAGACACTGATCCATTCTATAGATTTCAAGGTAAGAGTGTAAGGCAGCTGGGGCCCCATCAAGTGTTGAAGGCTAAACTCTGGGAGCAGGAAAGTATGAGGTCAGGACATTTCAGTGCTCAGGTGAAAACCAGTGGCCTAAGAGGGTGGAGTGGAGAAGACAAGGCCTTCTAGGAACCTCTGAGTTCAGATCTGGAAAGTCCCTCTGGAGCTCAGCATGGGAGGCAGAGCATTCACTCCTCCCTCCCCAACAGCCTTGAACTCTAACAGCAGGAACATTTCTCAGGGGCAAATTAATTTTCATAAAGGTAATGGAAAAAGTGTTCATCTGTTTGCTTGAAATGCTCCTAATATCTTAGGTATGCTGTGGCAATGGGAAAAATAGCTTGTGCTTTTAATAGCTGCAAAACTAGGTAAGTACAATTACCATCCCCATCTCTGCTCAAGAACATTAATGGATCACTCTTCAGTTCTGTAAATATTGTATCATAAGTATCATCAAACGTGGTATGTTTGTGTGTGTTTTTGAGCCCCTCTACCAGAGGTTTCCAAATTCATCGTTATGTGGAAATAAAAATCCAAGTGTGGACTGACAAAAGTGCAGATTCCTGGCTATTTCAAGCGTGTCGGATTCAGAAGTCGTGGGTAGGCCTCAAGAATTTGCTTTTCAAACAAATGCTCCCGGTGATTGACAGGTGATGTGGGGATCGCACTTTGAGAAACACTGCCCCTAAGCAAACTCCTTTCCACTTTAGCTCAAGTCACAGCAAGTTGTCTTTTCAACTGGCTTCCTAGTGTTAGTTCTGAGGAGCAATGAGACTACCACAGAGTCAGCCAGAGACAAATGACCAAAGCATAGTGAGGAAGTCTAGCCTTCAAACACAAACGCAGGGAGATCCTCACAACGAACTGCCCATTCTCTCCCCAGAGAAGCCTCCTCACCTGCCCACACCCCATGCACTCACTACCTGACCTGGACAGAAGGGCCTTTAGGTTCACCCTGGGTGTTAGGAAACTCAGGTCAGTATTTGCCAGTTTGGGGTTTTTTATTTACCTCTTTTGGTGATAGTATCGAAATGTAATCGTCATATATCGTTCTGGCCTTTTCTTCAATGACTTTTTTGTTCTGCTCTTTCTTTAAGTCTTCACAGGCAAGCCAGAAAAGCAGGTTCTCTTCGCTGTATTCTGTTCGGAGGAACTCTCGGAAAAGGTTTCTCCCCGCCGGGGCCTTCATCATCTTGTCAAAATTCTGAGACCAGGACAAGACTTCATCTGTCGTGGGGTTTTGGCTGCAGAGAAAGAATGGGCCCATAATCAAAGGTGACTGTCACCCAGATGGGGGGAGAGGAGCAAATAGAACAACTAGTCAGTTGCTGCCATCTAGTGGTCATTGTCACTCAGTTCGGTCTTCTCAGGCAAATCAGCCACCAGAACCAGGTGAGTTATTTCTGGGTGAGTGTGAGGCACCAACCAGCTGCATGTCAGGGAGCCTCGTGTTCCAACAGCCAGTGGCTCTACACACTGTGCACGTGGTCATAGCAGATTCCTCATGGAGATTGGAAATGTTTAACCTTATTATAGGATGCCCTTCAAAATGTATACACACTTTGAATGATTATAAAGCCAGTATTTATGAACATACAGTTTGTTTATTTTCAATACTTAAAAGAATCAACAGAAATGAATGGCTTTTTTTTTTTTTTTTGTCAATGCCTGTTTTCACACTGATGACCGCTCTGGTCCAGGCACTGCTGATAACTTGAAGCAATGGAATTGCAAATATCAAGCATCATTTCATTCAGTATTTGTCGACTGTTGCCGGTTTTGTACAGTAAACTATCATTTATGCATCCCCATAAAAAGTCTAGTGGATTCATTTTCTTTGTTGAAAGCTTAGTCAGGCTTAATACATTATTTCAAATCAGTTAAACCTGAGAAGGAATGAAAATTAGGTGAGCTATCAGCTATTAACGTGTATACACACTTTCAATAATTATAAAGGTAGTGTCTGTACTTCAACTGCTTTTGTGAACTTCCAGTAGCATTTTAGGATACATTTATTTTGTTTCAAGCTTAGTCTGGCTGAAAAGAAAGAAGTACCAATTGAGTTGTCAGCTGTTGAGGTGTGCAGACACATTTTTGGGGACTCCCTGTATATTGCAAGTTGGTAAAAACAGTCCATTTTCATTTTGAGGCCACAAGACAGTTTCTCTTTTCATTTCTAGTAGGGTTTTTTTTCTTTCCATTTATCACTGGATCTAAAATATATTGTGTGCTCTTGTTACATATTTTCCTAAACTTAAGTGATTATACTATTAAGTACAGGGTGGGTCAAAAGTAGGTTTACAGTTGTTCCTATGGAAAACAATACAATCTATGATAATAAAAGCATAATATGCTAATTAGAACAAACAACCAAACAACTTTCTGGATGTCATTCTGGACATCCTTCAGGATGAAGCTCTGGTGGCAGGGGCTGAGGCAGAAGCAGTTAGGGGCGATCAGGCAGGCAGCTGAGTCATTAGAGATGATCAGAGAGGCAGGTTAGTGGTTAGGGACAATCAGGTAGACAGGCAGAATGGTTAGGGGTGGTCAGCAAGACAGGCAAGTGGTTAGGCACAATCATGCAGGCAGGCAAGCAGTTAGGGGCATCTGGCAGGCAGGCAGAGTAGTTGGGGCAATCAGGCAAGCAAGCAGAGGCAGTTAGGGGTGATCAGGCAGGCAGGCGAGTGGTTAGGGGAGACCAGGTAGACAGGCAGAGTGGTTAGGGATGATCAGGCAGTCAGGCAGATGAGCGGTTAGGAGCCAGCGGACCCAGATTGCAAGAGGGTGCAGGTTGGGCCAAGGGACCCTCTCCCGTCCCCAGTGCATGAATTTCATGCACCAGGCCTCTAGGATTCTACCTAATAAAAGAGTAACATGCTAATTGACCATAATTGGATGGCCAACAGCCAATCAGGAGCAAGTATGCAAATCAACCCAACAAAGATGGTGCTTTAATTTGCATACACTGGCGCCAAGCGGCTGGGGATGGGGCGGATGCACCACCCCAGCTGCTCTGGGACTCTGGGCAGTGAGGGAAGGTGGAAAGGCAGCTCTGACCAGAGAGAAGATGCTGCTGGCAGCCAGGGGAAAGAAGGCCCATTCTGGCACAAATATTTGTGCATCGGGCCTCTAGTTAATAAATATTAGTAATACAAGAATAAACTCCATGTTTTTCATACTCACAACTGTAAACCTACTTTTGCTTAGCTTGTATTATAAATGCATTGTTACCCATGAATGGAGATATCACAGCGACAGAGCACAGGGCCCTTACAATGACAATGAGAACTTTTTAGAGATCTACATTCAGGTTTTCAGTGACTACTTCCCTGCAGAAACCACCAGTTATTACTCCCTTTGCTTATACATCTAAGAAGTGAAAGAAATGAACTGGAGATTCTTATGGTTAAACTAGAGGCCTGGTGCACCGAATTCATACACTTGGGGGTCCCTAATCACGGCCTGAGCCCTCGGGGGATGTCTGGGAGCCCATGGGGAGGGGGCCTGAGCCAGCAGTTGGACATCCTTAGCACTGCTGTGGAGGTGGGAGAGGCCCCTGCCACCACCAATACACTCGCCAGCAGCACTCTCCCCGGGGGAGTGCATTGACCACCAGGAGACAGCTCCTGTGTTGAACATATTCCCCCTGTGGTCAGTGCATGTCATAGTGACTGGTCATTCTGTTCAGTCAATTTAAATATTAGCCTTTTAGTATATAGGATTGGTCTTGCTTTCTCATTCATTGATCTATTTAATAAGTTTCCAAAGAAGGTATACATACATTTTTTAGCAAGTATTTTAAAGATTTTTGCTATTCAAACCGGTCTGAACTTCTTCAATCATTAAAACAAATTTAAAAGAAGAAAAAATCCCTATGCAGCAGCAACGTTAAAACCTTCTCATAAGTAGAGAAAAGCACCATAATTTTACGAATATTTTACTTGTGTTTTGATTTAATTTTATAGATTCAGTTCTGCATTCAACTTCTCATTTTGGATAAAATACTTGGGTAAAGTCTATTCTGAAGGACATGGTACCAGATGCCAGATGGGTGCCCTTCCTGACAGACTTAGGTAATTCCATATTGTGTGTGTGTGTGTGTGTGTGTGTGTATGTGTGTTACATTCTTACCACATAAAGAGAACAACTTAAAGAAAGATTTTCAGAAAAGGGAAGTCAGAAAATAGGGCAACTTGGGGAGCTAACTAATGAAACAATCATTATTTTTGAAAGAGAAAGTCAGGCAATATTTAACTGATAGCTTCACATAGCTAATAGAAAGTACATGAAAAGCAATTGCAATCACAGAGTAAGATCTCCCAGCTTGTAGATTCATTTCACCAAACCATTTTGAGGAGTAACAGGAAGCGAGAACTGATACCTAAGCACTGAGTTGAGGTAATCAGTATCTGAATACAAGACACAATTATAATGTGAGTCACTCACCCTTCCTCTAGGACCTGGATACTCTCCATTTTGGTGGTGAGCGTGGGTCTTCCCGCAGTTTCTGCTCTCTCTTCGTTCCTAACAGTGAGGCTGTAATGTAGCACAACACTTTATTTTGTCTAGGGAAAACCAAGTATTGAAAGAAAGGGAAAAAAAATGCAAGAAAATATTTCATGGAAGAATTTTACTTTTGACTATGTGAGACTATTTAGTGTACAAAAAAGAGCAATACCATTTTTAAATGACAGGATACGCCCCTTTCAACTAAGGAAAAGAGAATCACAATTTAATCAAATTATAAAATAAATCAGAACTCAAAAATGGATACTGCTATACATTCTGACTTCATCCTTACATAATTTAAATTACCTGAAATCCCTGACATACCTACATGATTATATGCTTTGATAGTATCTGATATACATTTTATGCCACTCTTTGTAATAACTCCATTTTGAGTTTTTGTTAGTGCTATTCATAGTTTGTTTTCCCTTTATCCCCCCCCCCCCCCCCCTGATATGAACCTTCCTCAATCCACTCAAGTTGGAACTGCTGGATTTATATTTGATTCTGTCTTTGTCCTTTCATCCTAGTTAATCAATTTCCGATGTCTCCAGAGGTTCTGAATAGGAGAGCATTGGATGAGAGGAATCTATGTCTCTGGACATAAATTCAGGAATTCTATAGGATTACAGGAGCCAGGGCAATCCCATGCACAGTAATAGTTCAGAATAAGACTAAGAATTATTGGATTCAGGCTCTCTAGCTGAATAGCGCCTTGGGGTGGAAGGCCCAAGGTTCCAGATGCAGACTAGACATATGAGGGAGACTTGGGGCCGATAGGAAGAAGCAGGTGGGGAGGAAGACTTGGAAAAGTCAAGCTACTGGATTAGCAAACTGATCCCTTTATGCAGAAGCTGAGGAGCTTCATGGGAGCCTGTCAGACAACAAAAGTTCAGACAGCATTTCTTTCTTTTATTTACTCGTTCATTTTTCAAACGAGAAGGAATGGGAACCATTATTTTCTAGTGCCTATTATATGCCAGGCACTGTCTTTTTACCTTCAGTTTTATTATCCTCATTTTAAAGATGAGCAGTGAATCACAGAGCTGTGTGTTACCTCGGCCAAAAGTCAGATACTTACTATGGGTATGGTTGAAATTTGAACCTAATTCTGGCAAGTGACCTTGCTGATTTTATTGAGTAACCATCATACTCCCTGATAGGTACTGACCCAACAAACTATTCACAACGTGAATGAAGAAAAGGGTCACTCAATCTGGTTGTGGTAGACAGAAGGAGTTTAGTGGGAGAAAGCTTCCAACAAGGAGTTCTTCTTAATCTGCAAAGTTTGGCATTTGGCAAGGGAAGCAGAGACAATGTCTCATGGATTCCTCCTTTCATGATCAGGTGCAGGGGTGAGGGTGGAGAGAATGGAGCAACGGGGAGAATTTAAGGAAGAGAGGTCCCTCTACAACGGAAGTGAGACCAGCCAAGGACATTTAGTTGAGAAAGTTGACTACCAGGAGAAAAGTGAACCCAGTAAGAATTGGAAAGGATTCTTTATTCAGAAAAAGGGACACATCAATGAAAAAACAAAACAAAACAAAAAAAGTGAATAAAACTAAGTTCTCTTTTAACAATTTCTAGGGAGAGTGACAGATTTATTGGTGCAGGACCATGGCGAGAAAAGAGTAACCCTCCACAAAAGTGGTGTGGCCCCAAGAATTCTGGGAAGCAGTAATGACAGCTGCTTGTTGCTCAGACAACCAGCAAACGGAGTTGTGCCCCTGGGAAGGCAGCCATTCCAGAGCCTTCGGGGTACTTCCAGAGCCATTCCAGAGCCATGGGGATACAGCAAAGCGGATTCAGAGAGGGCAGTACAGTTGTCTGTGTGCCCGCGTGTGGGGACGGGAATGTGTTTGCAGATGGAAGTAGCCTAGGAGACCTCAGTCTTCCGTGGCCCTGACACTTAGGTCAGGGATGTGTTTAGAAGAGTCACTGACTTCTCAAAGTGTCTTTGACGCAGTGCTTCTCTGGAATTTGATGTCTTTCCAAAACTTATGAAAAATGGGTGGGAGGAGGTTGGCATTATTCTGTGAAACTTCCTGGGAGAAATTAATGATGTCAAATGTATAAAATATGAAAATGTTTGATACATTCTAGGAAGATCATATTTAAATAGGAAATGAATGCTCATTCTGCCAAGCTTTACTGAGCTTATATGGGCGTGCACACATAGTAAGGTACTATAAAAAGTAGAGGAAAGAAAGCTTGCTTTTGTTGATTAAACAATACATTTAAAAATTATTTTTGTTACATTTCCACACAAGTGCAGAGTGACACACAAATGCAAGAATCCTCCACTTTATGCAACATCTTAAAATCATTTTTTCTCTTTGGTGTCTTTGCTGTGGAATATTTAATCTGGAATCCACACGCATGATTGACACGTTTCTGAACATGAATTCTGGCTCTCCTATTTGTTTTCGTGATATTTACAAACACCCCAAATGCCACCATTTTAGAGTGATCATTATGAAATATTGGGTTGTGTTTATATCTTCCATTTCTTACAGATGGTAAAATATGGACACACATATGTACCAAAGTGACTTAAAATAGACATTTAATAAGTGCTTAACCGCCCACTGCTCAATTTCTTGATATAATATTGGATACAAAATTGTCCTGTAGAGAGAAACTGACAAGTGTCCTGTTAATCAACTTGCCAATTCTTTTTTCTTTATTTAAAAAAATATATATTTTATTGATTTTTTTACAGAGAGATAGAGTTAGAAACATCAATAAGAGAGAAACATTGATCACTGCCTCCTGCACACCCCCCAGTGGGGATGTGCCTGCAACCAAGGTACACACACGCCCTTGACCTGAATTGAACCTGGGACCTTTCAGTCTGCAGGCTGACGCTCTATCCACTGAGCCAAACCAATTTCGGTGTCTTGCCAATTCTTGAAAAACCAGTTTCAAATTTTTATTTGTCAAGAACCACTGATAGTGCCATTTTAGGGTAAAAAGAAATGGAGAAAATGATAGGAGAGCTGCTACTAGAGTGCCATTTATGTCTTGGGAATGACGAATATCTGTCCCCAATTTCACTTGGTCTTGTTCTAAGTAGTATAGTGGGTTTTGTTAAGATAAATTTGCTTTAGATCAACATATACATGCTGTATGTGCTCCAGAAAAGCTCTAAAAGGAAAACATGAAATTTAACAGTAATGAGAAATCATGTGGAGACATTTTACTTTAACAGTGTTTGTAACATTTTAAATGGACTTTCTATGTTTTAAACAACTAAACCCATAAATAGAGCAGAATGCATACGCAGTGCTCATGGTGGGAGTCTTGATGGAGCTTAAATATTTATGGAAGACGATGCCAATAACCCAGGCTAAATATGCACAAATAAGCACTTACAATCCCATTAGACATTTAGGAGGATGGTGACTCTGAGAAGGGAGAAATGCAGTTGGTATGTTTCTGAAAAATCAGGAAATAATGCCTTCTTTGTGCATAGATGGACTTTTTGATTTGTTGTCAGGGAGTTTGGAGAGTGGGGTGAGGCTAACATCGCTGACTGCCCATTATACCATTTACCTACTGATTTGTCATCATGGATACATGTAGGGCCTATTTTGGAAGAGAAAACAACTGGTTCTTAGAGAGAACCCCTGAAATGGGCAAATAAGTGAAGACAGTGAAGTAGCCATGGTAACTCTGGCATAGAGGCTGAGCGCAAAACTACATGTTCATACAAAAACTCAACTGGGGAATCAATAAGATGCCTACATTTAATGCACAATGCAATGAAGGTTCAAGAAGGAACCCCTGCCATTGCTAAGGCATATATTCTAGAAGGCTCACATCATGATTTCAGTGTTTCCTTTTTTATTTAACAGGTTCTGCCTCAAATTTCCCAATGCAAAAACAGGATCAACACCCTTCAGCTTCTGAAAGAGAATCGGTAGGTTATCCTTGAAATGTTGCATTTTCCTCAATCAAAATATCATGGTGAAATAATACAACAGCTTTGTTTAGTGGTTGACAACAATTTATAAATACGTCTGAGACACCTGGTTTATGCAACAATGCCTGGGTTGGAAATTCAAGATCAATGAAGCCATGGCTGGGTAGGTCGGTTAATTAGAGGATCATCCTGGTACGCCACGGTTGAGGGTTTGATCGCTAGTTCGGGCACATAAAAGCAAGCAATGAATGCATAAATAAGTGGAACAACATATTGATGCTTCTTTCTCGCTCTCAACTCAATAAAGAAAGATCAATAAGACAGACTGTGAAATCGAGGAGCTCTAGCAGGTGAGTAAGCATCACATGGCATTGCACTGACAGCTAAGACAGTGGTTTGCATGGGGTATTTTGCAGACACAGGTGCAGTGGCTACAATTTTGCATGAGAGAACTGAGAAAAGCTTTCCAGAGGAGGTAATGATTAAACTGGATTGAACAATGAATGGGCATTTGCCGGATAGAGACTTGGACAAAGGGAGTTCCAAGTAGAGGGGGGAATGTATGGAGGCTGGGAGTTGCAAAAGAAAAAGAAATGTTATAAATGTAGGACAAAATGGAGAGATCAGGTGTTTCAGGGTGGAAGCAATAAATTAGAATAGACAGTGAGGTGTAGAACACAAGGAGGATACTCTAAATACACACTGAGTGACCAGATTATTATGATCTCTGAATGCATAATAATCTGGCCACTCAGTGTGTGTGTGTGTGTGTGTGTGTGTGTGTGTGTGTGTGTGTGTGTGTCTATATATATATTTCTTTTTTTAGAGGCCCAGGGCATGAATTTGTGCATGGTTGGGTCTGGCCAGCCTGGCCAGGGGGAGGGAGTGTGAGCTGTTGGCTGAACTCCTGGTCTAGGGAACAATTTGCATATTAGCATTTTATTATATAGAATATACACTGAGTGCCCAGATTATTATATATTCAGAGATCATAATAATCTGGCCACTCAGTGTAGACTATACCTCTCTTAAGATGATTTAGGCTTTCCATGCTTTATTTCCCTCGTTTATAATGAGGACCATTGGAGTGCCCTACTACACA